CTCGGGTGTTGACCAATCAACTTCAAGGACAGTGCATATAATTATCATCATCAGAAAAGACAGCTAAATATTGCACAAAAATCACCGTACACCAACGTTGTGTGCAAAAATCCCAGTGGGATGCAAGTCAAACAACAACAACAACCACAAGACAACTTAGATTAAGGCCATCATTCTAACTCTGTACTACAACAAACAAACATGGCCAAGCCAAAACACATTTTTGAAATCACCAAAATAAAGCCATGAAAGCAATGTAACAGTGATCATAGGAACTGTGACGGAATTTTCACAATAAATGACATAAACAACATGTACCGCCAAAACCCTGCAGCCATAGCTGGCTGCATGAGTCACTCCAAGTTCAAGTGCATGTATTAGGTATAGCCCTGTGAGCCATTCGGCTCTTGAATCGGGTGCAACCGCAACAAACAAAAAACTAAAACATGAACAAGAAAACATCTTGTAGTGACTATGTGACTAAGTGCAAACAGAACATCCAAGAAAAGACAGCAAAATATTGCAGAAAAAAGCACCGTGCACCAACGCTGTGTGCAAACATCCCAGTGGGATGCAAGTCAAACAACAACAACAACAACCACAAGACAACTTAGATTAAGGCCATCAGTCTAACTCTGTACTACAACAACACAAACATGGCTAAACCAATACACTTTTCGAAATCACCAAAATAAAGCCATGAAAGTCAAACAACAACAACAACAACCACAAGACAACTTAGATTAAGGCCATCAGTCTAACTCTGTACTACAACAACACAAACAACAACAACAACCACAAGACACCTTAGATTAAGGCCATCAGTCTAACTCTGTACTACAACAACACAAACAACAACAACAACAACCACAAGACAACTTAGATTAAGGCCATCAGTCTAACTCTGTACTACAACAACACAAACATGGCCAAACCAGTAAACTTTTCGAAATCACCAAAATAAAGCCATGAAACAACCCTAAATGTCGTGTATTATGTAGCATATAGCATTTGTTATAAAGTGGCCCGAAATAAAAATAAAACATATAACGGGCCGTCCATAAATGACGTCACGAACCTGGGGGGGGAGGGGGGGGTCAGACATTTGTGACGATGTGTGACGAGGGGGGAGGGGTTTGAGAAATATGACGTCACACAAAAATGCGAAATTTTAATAAATAAATATAGACAACACGTTCTACTTAACTAAACAGACTTTTTCATAAATGTTTTCTCCTACAACATCAGAGTGCAGCGCCACATTAAATACGCACTACAATGACAATAGTTTAAAGCGATTTGAAGCATGTTTTATTTTTTGGGGGGGACAGAGCTTTGTGACGTCATATTTGAGGAGGGGGGGTCTGACTTTTTGTGACGTCGTGTGACGAAGGGGGGGGGGGGGTCAAAAATCGTCCAAAATCGCGTGACGTCATTTATGGACGGCCCCTAAAAGTATTTTATCATTTGCTATACATCACAGATAAAGCGACAAATCGCTAACCCTAAACACCCGGTCGTTGGTAAAAGTCGAAGGCGGTATAGTACTATAGTAATAGCGTGGCCTGGCTCCGCCCACGGCACCGCCCCCTTTCTAGAAGCTACCAGCGAGTTCCCGGTGTGCCCCTTTCCGTGACCTTTCACCCTAGAGCCCCCTCTGGTGTATCACGTGGTCTGGCTCCGCCCATAGCGACGCCCCCTTTCTAGAAGCTACCAGCGGGTTCTCGGTGTGCCCCTCCCGTGACCTTTCACCCTAGAGCCCCCCCTGGTGTATCATGTGACCTGGCTCCGCCCCTAGCAACGCCCCCTTTCTAGAAGCTACCAGCGGGTTCATCTTCTTGGTTCTTTCGGTAAAGTCATCACGTAGAAGGGAAGTAATAAAATAATAAAAATAAAACATAATAAGATAATTCTCACGACGTTTCGGCCACAACGCAAGCAGCCGTCCTCAGGTGAAGACTAGGTCTGTCGGGGAGACAGCGTCAGACGCCCCCTTTCTAGAAGCTACCAGCGGGTTCTCGGTGTGCCCCTCCCGTGACCTTTCACCCTAGAGCCCCCCCTGGTGTATCACGTGGCCTGGCTCAGCGACGCCCCCTTTCTAGAAGTTACCAGCGGGTTCTCGGTGTGCCCCTCTCGTGACCTTTCACCCTAGAGCCCCCCCCTGGTGTATCACGTGACCTGGCTCCACCCCCGGCAACCCCCCCTTTCTGGAAGCTACCAGCGGGTTCTCGGTGTGCCCCTTCCGTGACCTTTCACCCTAGAGCCCCCTCTGGTGTATCACGTGACCTGGCTCTGCCCCCGGCAACGCCCCCTTTATAGAAGCTACCAGCGGGTTCATCTTCTTGGTTCTTTCGGTAAAGTCACGTAGAAGGGAAATAATAAAATAATAAAAATAAAACATAATAAAATCATTCTCACGACGTTTCGGCCACAACGCAAGCAGCCGTCCTCAGGTGAAGAACAGGTCTGTCAGAAAGACAACGTCTGAATGAAACACCACCAGGCTTGGCAGCGTATATTTCTGTTCTTCATCTGAGGACGGCTGCTTGCATTGTGGCCGAAACGTCGTGAGAATGATTTTATTATTATTTTATTATTTCCCTTCTACGTGACTTTACCGAAAGAACCAAGAAGATGAATCCCTGCAGTCACGAAAGCTTTAAATCGAAAAATATATATTTATTTAAAGTTGCGCATTTTGATGTGACGTCACATTTCTCACCCCCCCCCCCCTAGGTGCGTGACGTCATTTATGGACGGCCCCTTACGAACAGACCTCTGGAATTCATACTCTTAGGTTTTTTGGGTAAAGTCACGTAGGTAAAAAATACAATTAAAATTTAAATAGAAATAAAATAATATTGTATTCATACTCTTAGGTTTTTTCTGTAAAGTCACGTAGGTAAAAAATACAATTAAAATTAAAATAGAAATAAAAGAATAAATAATAAATATATTTTATTTCTATTTAAATTTTATTTTCTACCTACTTTGCGCATTTTTGATGTGACGTCACATTTCTCACCCCCCCCCCCCCTCTAGGTGCGTGACGTCATTTATGGACGGCCCCTTACGAACAGACCTCTGGATCCCAACTCGTTCGTAAGTCGAGGAATCGTCGTATGTCGGGGAATCGATTCCCCTCTTATCCAAGAATCGCCTCGTCGATTTTTCTTTGCGACCGTTAGGCCGGGCCAACGACAACGTTAACGGCGTAATTTCAAACGAGCCAATCAGCGGCCGTCTAGCAGCGCTGCCGCCGCTCTCCTCCAATGGGAGAGCGTCTCCGCTCAAAACAAGGGCGCGCGGCTCAGCCAATGGGAAGCGCGCTATGCAAATGAGATGGGGGGGAGGGGCTTGTACGAGTGAACGCGGAAGTGAAGAGGACTCCAATGCGGCCGTTCGTACCAGAATTGGTGAAGTATGACAGCGATCGATCGCTTCGATTCTTATATCGATCCATCGATTTCCGTTCGAATGTGTGCGAGTGCGTGCGTGAGGGAGCGGTGGTGCAGCGGTTAACGCGCTGAGCTACGAAGCTGGCGACCCGAGTTCGATTCCCGCTCACGTTCCAACACTTTGCCAGTGGCGATTAATTTGAATCGGTTCTGGGCCTCCTCTAGGTCGACTCGGCCTTAAATGAGTAACCTGGTGTAGCGGTGTGTAGTAAACATCGCCGCTGGGGGAGACAAAGGCGGCCGGGCGTGGTGCTGGCCACCCACCCCCTCGTGTGCCACAGTGCCGGTAGCCTTCATAGGTGCTCGCTAACAGCACTTGCCCCTACAGTCTGTCACAGGCTACACGGGGAGCTTTGCTTTGAGGACAGCACTTGCCCCTATAGCTTGTTAAAGGCTACATGGGGGATCTTTGTCTTTGCTTCGCGGACAGTACTTGCCCCTATAGCCTTTTAAAGGCTACACTGGGGAGCTTTGCTTTGCGGACAGCACTTGCCCCTACAGCTTGTTAAAGGCTACACGGGGGATCTTTGTCTTTGCTCGCTAACAGCACTTGCCCCTACAGCCTGTCACAGGCTACACGGGGAGCTTTGTCTTTGCTTTGCGGACAGCACTTGCCCCTACAGCCTGTCACAGGCTACACGGGGGAGCTTTGTCTTTGCCCGCAGACAGCACTTGCCCCTACAGCCTGTCACAGGCTACACGGGGGATCTTTGTCTTTGCCCGCGGACAGCACTTGCCCCTACAGCCTGTCACAGGCTACACGGGGGAGCTTTGTCTTTGTGGACAGCACTTGCCCCTACAGCCTGTCATAGGCTACACGGGGGATCTTTGTCTTTGCTAGCTGACAGCACTTGCCCCAACAGCTTGTTAAAGGCTACACGGGGGATCTTGTCTTTGCTTTGCGTACAGCACTTGCCCCAACAGCCTGTTAGAGGCTACACGGGGGATCTTTGTCTTTGCCCGCGTACAGCACTTGCCCCTACAGCCTGTCACAGGCTACACGGGGGAGCTTTGTCTTTGTGGACAGCACTTGCCCTCAATCATCTGCGTGACGCTCCACTGAGGGGTGTGGGTCTTTGTTTTTGGGACAAGGTTAAAGAAAAAAATTAACCCGTAAAAACAAAGTTTTTCACTATAAATCCTTTATATGCGTGGCATCGGTTTTATTTATTATTCATTTCTGTTTTTCTTGAGTAAGAGTTTCATTTTTATCACATTGGTATTTTAAATTAAATATGAAAAAAAAAATTCCTAAAAAGTGGTAAATTTTGGAAAATCCTTTTTCACGAAAAGAAATTGTCACGCACAACGAGTCTGTGTGCAAAATGTCAGCTCGATTGGATCACGGGAAGTGGGTTAAAACACGACCGAAAGATTTGCACGGTCGTAAGCAAGCAAGCAAGCAAGTGAACTTAATATAAAGGATTTTAAAAAATTCTGCAGCTCGTGGATTAACCCCTCACTATAGGTCCAAAATAAATCAATTGCACCATGCCACTGTGTTTTTGACACCCCCCTCCCCTCCCTCTACAACGATGGCTTGAAATGTTATTAAATCCTTTATATTAAGTTCACTTGCTTGCTTGCTTAGGACCGTGCAAATCTTTCGCTCGTTTTTTAACCCACTTCCCGTGATCCAATCGAGCTGACATTTTCCACACAGACTCGTTGTGCGTGACAATTAATGTTCGTGAAATTTTTTTTCCAAAATTTTACACTTTTTAGGAAAACAAAATATTATATTTAATTACCAATTGCTTAATGGTGGCAGGCAATCATCTGACCCATAGGTGGCAGCCATCTCAAGCCAGACGACGAGAGGAGTCTAGCCGCCACGCATATAAAGGATGACCTACTTGTATATACGCTTCCGCTTATAGGGAAATAATAAAATAAAAAATAAAACATTTCAAATTAAAATTTCGATTTAAAGCTTCTTCGTGACTGCAGGGATTCATCTTCTTGGTTCTTTCGGTAAAGTCACGGAGAATGGAAATAATAAAATAATAAGAAATAAAACATTATTTTTTTATTATATAAATATATTATTCTTTTTATGTTTTCTTTTCATTATTTTATTATTTACATGTGTGGCTCTGTAGGGTATGGGTATCGGGTACCCGATTGCGACCTCTGGGATGAAGCCATGTTGCAGGCGCGGGTGGGTTGATTCTAGGAACTTGAATTGTGAGAAGAGACAAGACGTTGGGAAATGAGTGACAAACGGTGACTCACCGGTGACTCACGGCCTACCCGTACCCGGCCGCACCAGGGTCGCAAACGGCTACCCGTACCCGGCCGGGTACGGGTAGCCGGGTATCGGGTAGGGTACGGGTATCGGGTACCCGGTTGCGACCTCTGGTTTGCGCGATCCGCCCCAAACGAACAACCTCGATTACCAGAATCGGCACGGCGTGCACGTCCGCTCTTCCCCGTGACTGCGAGGACGCGTGCTGCTCGGTTGACCGGTGTGTCTCCTCCCTTCACAGCAGCGGTCGGGAACCTATATGGCTCGTGAGCCATATATGGCTCTTCCGGTGACGGCATATGGCTCCCAGACAATTTTGAGTTGAAAAAAAAAATAATAATAAATAAAATTAAATCAGTTTGGAACTGATTTTAAAATACTTGCGATATTTGCTTAATAATACTGTGTCATTTTAAAGTAAACAGAAATTAGTTTTGAAGATAACATTTCTCGGGTCACGGGTCCCGTGACCAGAAGTCGCATTAAAAGTAGGACATATTTAATTTATTATACGTTAAAAATACTATATGGCTCTCAATGAAATATATTTAGAAATATTTGGCTTTTATGGCTCTCCCAGTCAAAAAGGTTCCCGACCCCTGCTTCACAGGAACGTGGAGTTTTCGCCACCGCCGCACCCGGCAAGATGAGTGCTGTGGCCGCCCTCCCCGGTCGCCACCTTCGCCCAACTCCTCAGCAACAGCAGCAGCTGCAGCTGCAGCAGCTGCATCAGAAAGAGTGGCGGCTGCAGCAGCAGCAGCAGCAGCAGCACAAGCAGCAGCTGCATCACCACCTGCAGCGTCAGCAGCAGCAGGAGCAGCAGCAGCAGCAGCGTCAGCAGCAGCAGCAGCACAATCAGCAGCAGCGCCTGCGTCAGAAGCACAAGCAGCAGCTGCAGCATCATTGGCAGGAGTTGCAGCAGCAGCAGGACAGGCAGGAGCATAATCTGCAGTCGCATCATCGTCATCAGGAACAGCAACAGCAGCACAATCATCAGCAGCAGCACAATCAGCAGCAGCAGCAGTTCGAGCGTCGTCATCACGATCATCGTGCCACTCAGCAGCATGAGCAGCAGCAGCAGCAGCACGACCAGAATCGCAACCACCACCGCCGGCCGGACCGCGAGCGGCACAACGCCACTCCGCTGCCCAGCGCCTTCGTCGAGAGCTTGCGGCCGCTGTTCGCCGCGTTGGATGACGTCGGCCGAGGCGCCGTGCACGTGGCCGAGATAGAATCTCGCTGGGGCGGCGGCGACGGCGGTGGCGGCGGTGACACCCGCGGCGGCGTCGGCAGCGGAGTTCTCGCCGCGCTCCGGAGGGCTGCTTCTCCCGGAGGTCACCTGACCTTCGAGCGCTTCGCCGCGGGTTTGGGTCGCGCCGCCGAGGAGATGGACGCGACGGAAGAGCCGCCGGCGCCGGTGCCTTCCTCCTCGTCGTCGTCGTCAACATCGTCGTCAACGTCGTCAACCTCACCGCCGCCGCCGTTGACCCCTTCGTCGCCACCGGCGTCGCTGTCGGTGAGGTGGTGGAGCGATTGCCGCCAGCACGCTCCCCGCACCGCACCGCCACCGATCCCGACAGGGCTCCGTGCCGCGCTGGCACGCGGGGCGGGGGTCACGGAGACTCCCGTGGAGTTGGTCCGGCTGGAACGGAACTCCGGAGTGAAGTTGCGTCGCCGCTGGGCACTCGGCCGGGAGAAAAGCGGACTCGTTGAACAGAGGGTTGTCATGCCATTGGCTCGCTGTGTGTGTGTGTGTGTGGCTGTCTGTGTGGCTCTGTGTGTGTGGCTCTTTGTGTGTGGCTCTGTGTGTGTGTCTGTGTGTGTGTCTGTGTGGCTGTCTGTGTGTGTCTGTGTGTGGCTCTCTGTGTGTGGCTCTGTGTGTGGGACTCTGTGTGTGTGTGGCTCTCTGTGTGTGGCTCTGTGTGTGTGTCTGTGTGTGTGTATGTGTGGCTGTCTGTGTGTGTCTGTGTGTGGCTCTGTGTGTGTGGCTCTCTGTGTGTGGCTCTGTGTGTGGGACTCTGTGTGTGTGGCTCTGTGTGTGTGTCTGTGTGTGGCTCTCTGTGTGTGGCTCTCTGTGTGTGGCTCTGTGTGTGTGTCTGTGTGGCTGTCTGTGTGCCTCTGTGTGTGTCTGTGTGGCTCTCTGTGTGTGGCTCTCTGTGTGTGGCTCTCTGTGTGTGGCTCTGTGTGTGTGTCTGTGTGGCTGTCTGTGTGCCTCTGTGTGGCTCTGTGTGTGTGTCTGTGTGTGGCTCTGTGTGTGTGACTCTGCGTGTGTGTCTGTGTGTGGCTCTGTGTGTGTGTCTGTGTGGCTGTCCGTGTGGCTCTGTGTGTGTGGCTCTGTGTGTGTCTGTGTGGCTCTCTGTGTGTGGCTCTCTGTGTGTGGCTCGTGGTGTGTGTCGTGTGGGCTGTCGATGTTGCCTCTGTGTGTGTCTGTGTGTGTCTGTGTGGCTCTGTGTGGGTGGCTCTTGTGTGGTCTAGTGTGGCTCTGTGTGTGTCGGTGTGGCTCTGGTGTGTCGGGTGGCTCTGTGTGTGTCTGTGTGGCTCTGTGTGTCTGTGTGGCACGGTGGGGGAGGGTGGGTGGTGACGGGGGGGGTCACGGTAACTCGCTGACCCCGTGCCCCCTTACGGGACATCTTTGACAAAGAGTTTGACGGCTCATCGGATTCCTCCCTCCCCCCCCCTCCCCCGTGCACCGCCAGACGACGGCAACTACGGCGAAGCCGACGGCGACGATGCGTCTGCGGCCCGCCAGCGGAGCTGCCGGTGGTGGCGGTGGTGGTGGTGGCGGTGGTGGTGGTGGTGGTGGTGGCAATGGTGGCGGTGGTGGTGCCACGTGGGAGAAGCGGGCGTCGTTGGCAACGCGCAGCCTGCAGTCGCTGGACGGGCTGGACTCCCTGGGGCCTCCACCACCACCACCTCCTCCACCTCCACCTCCTCCACCTCCACACCTCCACCTTCCTCCCCGCCGCCACCACTGCCTCCTCCTCCGCTCGTGCCTCGTTTGCTGAACCCCGTCGTTGATGGTGAGTGGGTGGGTGGTTGGGTAATTTGGTGGGTGAGTGGGTGGGTGAGTGGGTGGGTAATTTGGTGGGTGGGTATTGGTGGGTGGGGTGAGTGGGTGAGTGAGTGGATGAGTGAGTGGGTGGGTGAGTGGGTAATTTGGTGGGTGGGTGAGTGAGTAAGTAATTTGGTGGGTGAGTGGGTGGGTGAGTTGGTGAGTAATTTGGTGGGTGGGGTGGGTGGGTGAGTGAGTGAGTGAGTGGGTGGGTGGGTGGGTGAGTGGGTGGGTGGGTGTGTGAGTCAGTTGGTGGGTGGGTGAGTGAGTTGGTGGGGTGGGTGGGTGAGTGAGTTGGTGGGTGGGTGGGTAATTTGGTAGGTGGGTGGGTGGGTGAGTGGGTCTTTGGGTGAGTGAGTGTATTAGTGGGTCATTGAGTGGGTGGGTGATGATGGTGATGATGATGATAGTGATGATGGTGATGATGATGATAGTGGTGATGGTGATGATGATGGTGATGATGATGATAGTGATGATGGTGATGATGATAGTGGTGATGGTGATGATGATGGTGATGATGATAATGATGGTGATGATAATGATCATGTCGATGGTGATGGTGGTGATGTTGATAGTGATGATGGCGGTGATGATGCTGATAGTGATGATGATATTGATGGTGATGATGGTGATCATGTCGATGGTGATGGTGATGTTGTTGATGTTGTTGATGTTGTTAATGTTGTTGACAGGCGCGATGAGGGTGATGGGTCGCTCTCACAGTGACAGCAGCACAGCGGCGATGGCGATGATGGTGGTGATGTTGTTGATGTTGTTGATGTTGTTGTTGATGTTGTTGATGTTGTTGACAGGCGCGATGAGGGTGATGGGCCGCTCTCACAGTGACAGCAGCACAGCGGCGATGGCGATGATGGCGATGTGCGACGCTGAGCCGCGGAGAAACAGGAGCTCAGCGAGGGGAGAGCACAGAAGGCACACCATCACCACCATCACGGGTCTCGACCATCACACGGTACATCACCACCATCACACGGTACATCACCATCACCACCATCACCACCATCACCACCATCACGGGTCTCGACCATCACACGGTACATCACCATCACCACCATCACCACCATCACCACCATCACGGGTCTCGACCATCACACGGTACATCACCACCATCACACGGTACATCACCATCACATGTTACACCATAACATGGTACATCACCATCACATGTTACACCATCACACAGTACATCACCATCACCACCATCACGGGTCTCGACCATCACACAGTACATCACCATCACACGGTACATCACCATCACATGTTACACCATCACACGGTACATCACCATCACCACCATCACCATCACCACCATCATCATCACCACCATCACCACCATCACCACCATCATCACCATCACCACCATCACGGGTCTCGACCATCACACGGTACATCAACAACAACAACAACCGTCATTCGCCACTAAGTGGCGGTGACGTCACCACGACGCTTGTGCCAGGCCAAGTGCACCTCGAGGCCACGTGAAGTGTCGAACGCCCGCTGGCAGGAGGTCACGGGGCAGACCCAGCAGGTGCCACGGGTCGACTGACCGAGATGACCGAGATGACTGGCTGATGCGCCACCTGTGCCCCCTACTGTGCCAACTTTCTGTGCTTTAGCCAACTTTCTGTGCTTTAGCCACCCGGCGCTCCGCTCGTTGTTGTGAGCGTCGCTCCTCCGCCCTCCGCTGTTGTTGGAGGGCGACTGCCTTCAACTTCCCAGTAGCGTCCTTCACGAGCCTCCTCCACAGAGGCCGATCTTGACACCGTTGGTACCTGTCGTTGGCAAGTCTACTCAGCTCCACATCCTCCTGTACCGCATCAGCTCCATCTCTTCTTTAGCCCGTGTCCGTGCCCGTTTAGCCCCCTCGATCCGGCCGAACAAAAGCTGTTTAGGCATGCGGTGGCTGGGTATGCGGGCTACATGACCCGGCCAACGTAGCCTTGCCTGCTGGAGGAGTTCACTCTTTCAAGGATTTGTGAGCTCCTCACACAATCCAGCCTGCAGGTTAAACCCAGGATGGATCATAGGCAGGCCAGCCTAAATGTTTCTAACTGGCGAAGATGTTCCATTAGGAGGGGGGGTCCACGTTTCGCAAGCGTAGAGAAGGGAGGGCATGACTGTCACCACCACCACCATCACCACCATCATCATCATCACCACCATCACCACCATCACCACCACCATTATCATCATCACCACCATCACCACCACCATCATCATCACCACCACCATCATCACCACCATCACCACCACCATCATCATCATCACCACCATCACCACCACCACCACCATCATCACCACCATCACCACCATCACCACCATCATCACCACCATCACCATCACCACCACCATCATCACCACCATCACCACCATCATCACCACCACCATCATCACCACCACCTCCATCACCACCATCACCACCACCATCATCACCACCATCACCACCACCACCACCATCATCATCATCACCATCACCACCATCATCACCACCATCACCACCATCACCACCACCACCACCACCATCATCATCATCACCACCACCACCACCACCATCATCATCACCACCATCACCACCACCATCATCACCACCACCATCATCATCACCACCACCATCATCATCATCACCATCACCACCACCACCACCATCACCACCATCACCACCACCACCACCATCACCACCATCACCACCATCACGGGGTTCAACCATCACATGGTACGCCATAATGGTGGTTGGTTGTGTGTATGTGTGGTTGTAGTGGTGGTGGTGGTTGTGGTGGTGGTTGTGACTTGGTTGTTGGTGGTCATGTTAATGTGTTGTTATAGTAGCGGTGGTGGTTGTGGTGGTGGTGGTTGTTGGTGGTGGTGGTTGTTGTTGGTGGTGGTTGTTGTTGTTGTTGGTGGTGGTTGTTGGTGGTCATGTTAATGTGTTGTTATAGTAGAGGTGGTGGTTGTTGGTGGTTGTTGGTGGCTGTTGGTGGTGGTGGTTGTGTGTGTGGTTGTTGGTGGTGGTTGTGGCTTGGTTGTTGGTGGTCATGTTAATGTGTTGTTATAGTAGCGGTGGTGGTTGTGGTTGTGGTGGTTGTTGGTGGTGGTTGTGGTGGTTGTTGTTGGTGGTCGTTGTTGTTGGTGGTGGTGGTTGTGATGGTGGTTGTGGTGGTTGCGATGGTGGTGGTTGTGGTGGTTGTGATGGTGGTTGTTGTTGGTGGTGGTTGTGGTTGTTGTTGGTGGTGGTGCAGGTGGCGGCGGTGCAGCAGCAGGAGGCGCTGGGCTCTGCTCTGCGCGCCCTCGACTCGGCGCGGGGTCGCCTGCAGGACGAGGTCACGGGGAGGGGGCGGAGGGACGCAGGGGCTCCCCCGGTAACCACGACGCACCACGCCCCACCGTGACGCGCCGTGCCCCACCGTGCCTCACCGTGACGCACCGTGCCCCACCGTGCCCCACCACGCCCCACCATGCCTCACCGTGCCCCACCGTGCCTCACCGTGCCCCACCACGCCCCACCATGCCGCACCATGCCTCACCGTGCCCCACCGTGACGCACCTTGCCCCACTGTGCCTCACCATGCCTCACCGTGCCCCACCGTGACGCACCGTGCCCCACCGTGACGCACCGTGCCCCACCACGCCCCACCATGCCTCACCGTGCCCCACCGTGCCTCACCGTGCCCCACCACGCCCCACCATGCCGCACCATGCCTCACCGTGCCCCACCACGCCCCACCGTGCCCCACCGTGCCTCACCGTGCCCCACCGTGCCCCACCGTGCCCCACCGTGCCCCACCGTGCCACACCACGCGGTGTGACACAGCCACACATAGTGCAGCCACACAGCGCTTGCACCGTCATCACGACACCTCCTTTGCCAGTACCAAAATATAATAATAATATGATTAATAGGGGTTTTTTACCCCTTTTTTTCTAGCGACAAAACATGTTACTGCATTAACCACGATCCTTGCGGTCACAATGCAAACCAAAAAACACACACTCTTGAGAACGTGATGCATCGTCCTTGACGCTCACCCCGAGCTCTCGTTACTCCGATGGCGCGCTGTCTTTGAGCTGCGTGCCTCTTGGCGTCCTCTGGTCTAACGCCGTTAGTGAGACGAGGCTCTAAAGAAAGCCGTCTCTGGTGTGGACCAATCAGTTTCAAGGACCAACGCATCATAAACTATCAGGGTGTGTTTTTTTATTTGCATTTTGACCGCAGGTATTGTTTTTAAATGCAGACATCATGATTCCTCGTAAACCAAAGAAGGTTTCAGTTTTGTCGCCAGAAAGAAAGGGGGAAAACCCACCCCCCCGCTATTATTATTAATATGACAGCGCTTGCACCGCCGGTGTTTTGCGTTGGCCCGGCAGCAGGGTCACCCGGCGGACGTGAACCCGGCCCGCCTGGGGCAGCTCTACCACAGGATCCAGGAGGCGACACGCATCCTGGCGGAGGTCACCGAATCGGCAAAGGTGACGGCACCGTGACATCGTCGCGGCTAGAAAAACACTTTTTAAATTAAACACCATGGGTAAAGCCCCTCCCACCACCTGATCTGCTTGGGTTAGCTACCTTTCATTCAGAAGCAATTACCCCACCCCCCCCTTACCCATCCCCCCCCTTACCCATCCCCCCCCCTTACCCCCCCCCTTACCCACCCCCCTTACCCACCCCCCTTACGTCAGGACCCATGACCTCCTGTATACCCGGCGAGGTAGTTAACATTTCCTAGCCACCGTGATGATGAGGAGAGAGACGCAAACTCCAAATATACAGCAGGCATCGTCAGGGTCGGGATCGAACCCACGACCTCCTGTATACCAGGCGAGGTAGTTAACATCTCACCCACTCACCACCACCATCACGGGGCTTGATCATCACCACCACCACCGCCACCATCATCAACAACATCAACAACATCATCATCGTCGTCTTCTTGGTTCTTTCGGTAAAGTCACGTAGAATGGAAATAAGAAAATAAGAAAAATAAAACATAATAAAATAATTCTCACGACGTTTCGGCCACAACGCAAGCAGCCGTCCTCAGGTGAAGACAGACCTGTTCTTCACCTGAGGACGGCTGCTTGCGTTGTGGCCGAAACGTCGTGAGAATTATTCTTTGGTTCTTTCGGTTAAGTCACGTCTAAAGATAAAATAATAAATTAAATAATAGCATATTACGACGTTTCGATTGCAACACAAGCAATCATCATCAGGCATAAAAGAAATAGCAACAAAAATCTAACTAGAAAACTATAGACAGACATGTCTGCTTGTATGTCTGTCTATAGTTTTCTAGTTAGATTTTTGTTGCTATTTCTTTTATGCCTGATGATGATTGCTTGTGTTGCAATCGAAACATCGTAATATGCTTTTATTTAATTAATTATTTTATCTTTATACGTGACTTTACCGAAAGAACCAAAGAATAATTCCTGCAGTCACGAAAGCTCCAAAATTAAGGTCGTGAGAATTATTTTATTATGTTTTATTTTATTTATTTTATTATTTCCATTCTACGTGATGACTTTACCGAAAGAACCAAGAAGATGAATCCCTGCAGTCACGAAAGAAGCTTTACATCGAAATTCATCATCGTCGTCTTTATTGTGACTGTGTCCATGTCGCTGTTGGGTGTTGGGGGGGGGGCGCAGGCTGGGACTTGCGGGGCCGAGGGCTACGGGCCCCCCACGGCGCCCAGCGCCAGCGTCCTGCAGCAAGCGCTGTGCGTGCTGCGCGACCAGAACCGGCTGCTCACGCGGGTGAGTAGCAACTCCCTCGCACCACCCTCACTCCTCACCCTCACCACCACCCTCACCACCACCCTCACCCTCACCCCCCAGGTGAGTAGCAGCCGCTCCCTCGCCCCACCCCTCACCACCACCCCCCAGGTGTGTAACTCCCTCGCCCTCACCCTCACCCCTCACCCCCCAGGTGAGTAGCAGCTCCCTCGCACCACGCTCACCCCTCACCACCACCACCACCCCCCAGGTGAGTAGCAGCTCCCCCACCCTCACCCCTCACCCAGATGAGTAGCAGCTCCCTCGCACCACGCTCACCCCTCACCACCACCACCCAGGTGAGTAGCAGCTCCCTTTCACCACCCTCACCCCTCACCCCTCACCACCACCACCACCACCACCCAGGTGAGTAGCAGCTCCCCCACCCTCACCCCTCACCCAGATGAGTAGCAGCTCCCTCGCACCACCCTCACCCCTCACCCTCACCACCACCCTCACCCCCCAGGTGAGTAGCAGCTCCCTCGCCCCACCCCCCACCCCTCACCCCTCACCCCTCACCACCCCCCAGGTGAGTAGCAGCTCCCTGGCCCTCACCCCTCACCCCTCACCACCACCCTCACCACCACCCTCACCACCACCCCCCAGGTGAGTAGCAGCTCCCTCGCACCACCCTCACCCCTCACCCCTCACCCTCACCACCACCACCCAGGTGAGTAGCAGCTCCCTCGCCCCACCCTCACCCCTCACCCTCACCACCACCACCAGGTGAGTAGCAGCTCTCTCGCCCCACCCTCACCCCTCACCACCACCCTCACCACCACCCTCACCACCACCCCCCAGGTGAGTAGCAGCTCCCTCGCACCACCCTCACTCCTCACCCCTTACCACCACCCTGACCCCTCACCCTCACCACCACCACCAGGTGAGTAGCAGCTCCCTCGCACCACCCTCACCCCTCACCCCTCACCCTCACCACCACCACCCAGGTGAGTAGCAGCTCCCTCGCCCCACCCTCACCCCTCACCCTCACCACCACCACCAGGTGAGTAGCAGCTCTCTCGCCCCCCCCTCACCCCTCACCACCACCCTCACCACCACCCTCACCACCACCCCCCAGGTGAGTAGCAGCTCCCTCGCACCACCCTCACTCCTCACCCCTTACCACCACCCTGACCCCTCACCCTCACCACCACCACCAGGTGAGTAGCAGCTCCCTCGCCCCACCCTCACCCCACCCTCACCCCTCACCACCACCACCCACCCCCACCCCCCAGGTGTGTAACTCCCTCGCCCCTCCCTCCAGCTCACGTGTCTCCCCGTGTCCCCCCATGTCTCTCCCCATTTCTCCCCACATCTCCCCGTGTCTCTCCCTACATCTCCCCGTGTCTCCCCGTGTCTCACCGTGTCTCTCTCCACGTTTCCTCGTGTCTCCCCGTGTCTCTCTCCACATCTCCCCGTGTCTACCCGTGCCTCCCCGTGTCTCCCCGTGTCTCCCCACATCTCACCAAATATCCCCGTGTCTCTCCCCACATCTCCCCGTGTCTTCCCGTGTCTCCCCGTGTCTCTCCCCACATCTCCCCGTGTCTCCCCGTGCCTCCCCGTGCCTCCCCACATCTCCCCAAATCTCCCCGTGTCTCTCCCCAGATCTCCCCGTGTCTCCCCGTGTCTCCCCGTGCCTCCCCACATCTCCCCAAATCTCCCCGTGTCTCTCCCCACATCTCACCAAATCTCCCCGTGTCTCTCCCCGTGTCTCCCCACATCTCACCACATCTCTCCGTGTCTCTCTCCACATCTCCCCAAATCTCCCCGTGTCTCCCCACATCTCATCAAATCTCCCCGTGTCTCTCTCCACGTCTCCCCGTGTCTCCCCGTGCCTCCCCGTGCCTCCCCGTGTCTCCCCATTTCTCCCCACGTCTCCCCGTGTCTCCCCGTGTCTCTCCCCACATCTCCCCGTGTCTCCCCACATCTCCCCGTGTCCCCCCACGTCTCTCCCCATTTCTCTCCGCATCTCCCCAAATCTCCCCGTGTCTCCCCACATCTCACCAAATCTCCCCGCGTCTCTCCCCACGTCTCGCCGTGTCTCCCTGTGTCTCCCCGTGCCTCCCCGTGTCTCCCCGTGTCTCCCCACATCTCACCAAATCTCCCCGTGTCTCCCCGTGTCTCCCCGTGCCTCCCCGTTTCTCCCCACATCTCACCAAATCTCCCCGTGTCTCCCCGTGTCTCCCCGTGCCTCCCCGTGTCTCCCCACATCTCACCAAATCTCCCCGTGTCTCCCCGTGTCTCCCCATGTCTCCCCGTTTCTCCCCACATCTCACCAAATCTCCCCGTGTCTCTCCCCACATCTCCCCGTGCCTCCCCGTGTCTCCCCGTGTCTCCCCGTTTCTCCCCACATCTCACCAAATCTCCCCATGTCTCTCCCCACATCTCCCCAAATCTCCCCGCCCCCCCCCCCCCCTCTGGGTGCAGGAGGTATCCGAGAAGAGTGACCGCATCTCCCAGCTGGAGCACGAGAAGTCGCTGCTCATCCAGCAGCTGTTCGAGGCTCGCTCGCGTCACCATGGCAACGCCAGCCTCCTCGCCGACTCCACCTTCATCTGAACGCCGCCCCACCAAGCCCCACGTCGCCCCCGGCAACCGCCTTGTACACCCCCCCCCGCACCCGCCTGCCCGCCCCGGGATATCGGCGCAACCCGTTGCACGGACGAGGGTCTGCGCGACGCGACGGACGAGTTCCTGCAACCGGCGGTTGCCGTTGGCGGCGGCGGCGTCTGGAGCCCGGCCGCGACGCCACGCGGGGGAGAAGACGCGACGCGGCAGGGGTAGCAGCAGCAGCAGAAGCAGGAGAAGCAGTAGAAGCAGCAGCAGAAGCAGTATAAACAGCACCAGAAGCAGTAGAAGCAGCAGCAGAAGCAGTAGAAGCAGCAGCAGAAGCAGTAGAAGCAGCAGCAGAAGCAGTATAAACAGCACCAGAAGCAGTAGAAGCAGCAGCAGAAGCAGTAGAAGCAGCAGCAGAAGCAGTATAAACAGCACCAGAAGCAGTAGAAGCAGCAGAAGCAGCAGCAGAAGCAGTATAAACAGCACCAGAAGCAGTAGAAGCAGTAGAAGCAGCAGCAGAAGCAGTATAAACAGCACCAGAAGCAGTAGAAGCAGCAGAAGCAGCAGCAGAAGCAGTAGAAGCAGAAGCAGCAGCAGCAGAAGCAGAAGCAGCAGCAGCAGTAGGAGCAGTAGCAGTAGAACCAGCAGCAGCAGCAGAGCCAGGCTCTGCTTTGTTCGTGTGTGCGCGTGTACGTGTGTGTGTGTGTACGTGTGTGTGTGTGTACGTGTGTGTGTGCGGTCATCTCGGTCAGTCGACCCGTGGCACCTGCTGGGTCTGCCCTGTAACCTCCTGCCAGCGGGCGTTCGACACTTCACGTGGCCTCAAGGTGCACTTGGCCTGGCACAAGCGTCGTGGTGACGTCACCGCCACTTAGTGGCGAATGGCGGTTGTTGTTGTTGTGTGTGCGTGTGTACGTGTGTGTGTACGTGTGTGTGTACGTGTGTGTGTACGTGTGTGCGTGTACATGTGTGTTTGTGTATCAGTATTGAGGTTGTGTGTGTCAGCGTTGAGACTGTGTGTGTGTGTACGTGTGTGTGTGTACGTGTGTGTGTGTGTCAGTGTTCAGGCTGTGTGTGTCAGTATTGAGGTTGTGTGTGTCAGCGTTCAGGCTGCGTGGGTCAGAAGAAAGCTGCCTCTACGTTCAAGTTGCACCCTCCGCTAATGGGCCACTCGCGAGCCTAATGCATGTCGCTCGATGCACGTAAAACGAATGCCCCCCTTCCCGCATCTCTAATGGTATAATCCATGCCCCCCTTAAATCGCAAATGGCATGCTCCGTGAGATGGATCCGTGAGAAGCGGTCTCACCCCGCAGTTACCGCTAACGCAGAGGTCGCAGACGGGTACCCGATACCCGTACCCTACCCGATACCCGGCTACCCGTACCCGGCCGGGTACGGGTAGCCGTTTGCGACCCTGGTGCGGCCGGGTATGGGTAGACCGCGAGTCACTGGTAAGTCACCGTTTGTCACTCATTTCCCAACGTCTTGTCTCTTCTCACAATTCAAGTTCCTAGAATCAACCCACCCGCGCCTGCAACATGGCTTCATCCCAGAGGTCGCAATCAGGTACCCGTACCCTACCCGTACCCAGCCGGTTACGGGTAGGATACGGGTACCCATTTGCGACCCTGGTGTGGCCGGGTACGGGTACGGGTAGGCCGTGAGTCACCGGTGAGTAACTGTCACTCATTTCGGGTAGGGTACGGGTCGGGAACGGGTACCCGTACCCGGCCGGGCACGGGTACCCATTTGCGACCCTGGTGTGGCCGTACCCGGGTACGGATAAGGAATCAAAACCCCATTGGAACCTCATTTGCCAGTTAAAATATCATAATTGTTTTTTTAACCCTTCTATCTGGCAACAAAACTGACACCTTTTTTACAAGGAGTCATGTTTGCATAGACCACAATACCTGCGGTCATAATGAAAAAAAAACATAACTCTGATAATGTGCACTGTCCTTGAAGTTGATTGGTCCACACCCGAGACAGCTTTCCTTAGAGCCTAGTCTCACATGGTGTTGGACCAGATGACGCCAAAAGGCGCAAAACTCAAAGACAATGCACCATCAGAGTATGAGAGCTCGGGGTAAGCATGGCGTTTGTCACTCATTTCAGGTAGGGTACGGGTCGGGAACGGCTACCTGTACCCGGCCGGGTACGGGTAAGGAATCAAAACCCGTTTGCGACCTCTGCCGCTAACTCAGCGGTCGATCTTCTCGGCTACGAATGCGACTACTTTGACGATCTCGCCCCCCTCACCCGCTCCCCCCCCCTCCCCCGCACGTGTGAAACGGCACTACCCCGCGTCCTTACATAGCGCGTGCCTCTTCGGCAAAACCCCGATGCATGGGACCGTCTGCTTGCAAACGACACGCACCACGGGGTGTACGGTATACAGATCGGCTCAAACCTCGCGTCAAAGCCACGTGACTCCTGCCCTTCCCACTTTAAACTCCTCCTCTTTCTCCGTGCCGCTGCCCACTGTGAAAACAGACTCCTCCGTGCGGATCTCTTTTGCTGATCGCTCCACCGTCCAATCACACTCTTCCATCTCTGTCATCGTCATCATCGTCACCAGGGTGGCGCCTGGTGTACAGGAGGTCGTGGGTTTAGGTCCCGACCCTGACGACGCCTGCTGCTGTATATTTGGAGTTTGCGTGTCTCTCATCATCATCGTCACGGTGGCTAGGAGATGTTAACTCCCTCGCCTGGTACACAGGAGGTCGTGGGTTTAGGTCCCGACTGACGACGCCTGCTGCTGTATATTTGGAGTTTGCGTCTCTCTCTCATCATCATCATCGTCACGGTGGCAATGAGATGTTAACTCCCTCGCCTGGTGTACATGAGGTCGTGGCTTCAGGTCCCGACCCTGATGACGCCTGCCCGCTGCATATTTGGTGTTTGCGTGCCTCTCATCATCATCATCATCACGGTGACGAGATGTTAACTCCCTCGCCTGGTGTACAGGAGGTCGTGGGTTCGATCCCGACTGACGACGCCTGCTGCTGCTGCTGTATATTTGGAGTTTCCGTGTGTCTCTCTCCCCGTGGTAGCGTGGGATCTTTTTTTTACACGCTTTTTATTAACTCTGCTGTATTCTCAAATCTTGTAACTCAAATTTTACCCACTTCCTAATGCGGTACCGACTGCAAACTTTGCATACTTATGTCATACCGATGACAACACTATATTCTATCATAAAAAATGATAAAAATATTTTTTCACATTATTTTTTACATGTTTTGTTTCGGCTTGGGTCTAATTGTCAACGCTCAACTGACGTTGGCTGTAAATCACCACGGCCCCCTTACGTCGTGGCAAGCCTCGGGGCCACTTCCTGGAATCGTGGAGTTCTTCCATTACTCGTACGGTACATTTCATTAAAGCGTGTTTTTTTTAAAAGTTTGTTTTAAATATTACTTATTTTCCTCCGGGTCCTCCGTCGTTATTTTTTTCTTTCCCGCAAGCGTCGACAAGTCGCGGCGACGACGACGACGACGATGATGATGATGATGAGACACTTTGTTGAGCTTTATTTGTGGACCGTTAACCAGGGTCGCTTAGCCTGGTTAACGTTGAAGTATAAAAATCGCCACCCTCTCATCAACCCCCGACATCTTGGGGGCCCAGCCATTCCTCATCCTCCCCATCCTCCTCTCTCCCTGCTGCTCGTCCTGATGAACGATGACCCCCCACCCCTCCCCTCCTCTCTCTCTCTCTTCATCTTGCTGACCTCTGCCCCAGCCTCCCGTTCCCTATTACCCCTAATACAGCAACTAATCATATTACGCAATACAACGTCGCCACTCCGCTATCCGCGGGCATGATATCGAGGTCCGACGTTTGCACCGTGGACCGGCTTGAGTTTTTTTGTTTGTTTTGCCACAAAGCACAGACGCCCGCCGCCGGCTAATCGTTCGGTCGGTCGGTCGTTGGTCGGATGTCGTCGGGGACGTCGCAGCGTCGGTGTGGCGGTGGCCGTCCACTGCTATCCACCCCCGCGGGCAACTGGCCCGGTGTGCCCACACTACCCAGACTGCCCAGATTACCCAGACTGCCCACACTACCCAGACTGCCCAGATTACCCAAACTACCCACACTACCCAGACTGCCCACCCTACCCACACTACGAAGACTGCAAACTCCACTCACTCACTCTGCAGAACAGGGGGAGATCATACAAACTCCACTCACTCTGCAGAACAGGGGGGGATCACACAAACTCCACTCTGCAGAACAGGGGGAGATCATACAAACTCCACTCTGCAGAACAGGGGGAGATCATACAAACTCCACTCACTCTGCAGAACAGGGGGAGATTATACAAACTCCACTCACTCTGCAGAACATGGAGAGATCATACAAACTCCACTCACTCTGCAGAACAGGGGGGGATCACACAAACTCCACTCACTCTGCAGAACAGGGGGGGATCACACAAACTCCACTCACTCACTTTGCAGAACAGGTGTAGAACATACCAACTCCACTCACTCTGCAGAACAGGGGGAGATCATACAAACTCCACTCACTCTGCAGAACAGTTGTAGAACATAAAAATTCACTCACACAGAGAGGCATTCGCATCGGGAATCAAACCCAGCCGCTTGTTGCTGTGAGGCACAGGCGTAGTAGACCACTACTGCATCACCACCCCACCTCCCTATTATTTCCCCTCCGATCTGTAATGTTTACGTTGTTTTTTTTAAATTATCATTCATGTTACGTCCTTTTAACTGACGCTTATGTAACCTCTTGTCAACTAACAGCAGTAACCGATGCAATACTTTGTCGTTGATGTAATTGTTCGTGGTTATGATCGTCTGCCATTCGTTTTTTTACGACGCAAATACAATGCTTAGTCAAGTCTGCATTCGGCATTGAATCATTGTTGGCTCAAGGTGCCGTGTTCTGATATTCCTGTGAAGGCAGAAGACACAGCATCATGGAGGAGCCTTAGTCTGGCTCTGTGAGCCTCGGTGATTAACACTGAACCATGTGGGAGCCTCAGTCTGGCTCTGTGAGTCTCGGTGATTAACACTGAACCCTGTGGGAGCCTCAGTCTGGCTCTGTGAGTCTCGGTGATTAACACTGAACCCTGTGGGAGCCTCAGTCTGGCTCTGTGAGCCTCGGTGATTAACACTGAACCCTGTGGGAGCCTCAGTCTGGCTCTGTGAGTCTCGGTGATTAACAGTGAACCCTGTGGGAGCCTTAGTCTGGCTCTGTGAGCCTCGGTGATTAACACTGAACCCTGTGGGAGTCTCAGTGATTAACACTGAACCCTGTGGGAGCCTTAGTCTGGCTCTGAGTCTCGGTGATTAACACTGAACCCTGTGGGAGCCTTAGTCTGGCTCTGAGTCTCGGTGATTAACACTGAACCCTGTGGGAGCCTTAGTCTGGCACTGTGAGCCTCGGTGATTAACACTGAACCCTGTGGGAGCCTTAGTCTGGCTCTGTGAGTCTCAGTGATTAACACTGAACCCTGTGGGAGCCTTAGTCTGGCTCTGTGAGTCTCAGTTATTAACACTGAACCCTGTGGGAGCGTTAGTCTGGCTCTGAGAGCCTCGGTGATTAACACTGAACCCTGTGGGAGCCTTAGTCTGGCTCTGTGAGCCTCGGTGATTAACACTGAACCCTGTGGGAGCCTCAGTCTGGCTCTGTGAGTCTCGGTGATTAACACTGAACCCTGTGGGAGCCTTAGTCTGGCTCTGTGAGTCTCGGTGATTAACACTGAACCCTGTGGGAGCCTTAGTCTGGCTCTGAGTCTCGGTGATTAACACTGAACCCTGTGGGAGCCTTAGTCTGGCACTGTGAGCCTCGGTGATTAACACTGAACCCTGTGGGAGCCTTAGTCTGGCTCTGTGAGTCTCAGTGATTAACACTGAACCCTGTGGGAGCCTTAGTCTGGCTCTGTGAGTCTCAGTTATTAACACTGAACCCTGTGGGAGCCTTAGTCTGGCTCTGAGAGCCTCGGTGATTAACACTGAACCCTGTGGGAGTCTCAGTGATTAACACTGAACCCTGTGGGAGCCTCAGTCTGGCTCTGTGAGTCTCGGTGATTAACACTGAACCCTGTGGGAGCCTTAGTCTGACTCTGTGAGTCTCGGTGATTAACACTGAACCCTGTGGGAGCCTTAGTCTGGCTCTGAGTCTCGGTGATTAACACTGAACCCTGTGGGAGCCTTAGTCTGGCACTGTGAGCCTCGGTGATTAACACTGAACCCTGTGGGAGCCTTAGTCTGGCTCTGTGAGTCTCAGTGATTAACACTGAACCCTGTGGGAGCCTTAGTCTGGCTCTGTGAGTCTCAGTTATTAACACTGAACCCTGTGGGAGCCTTAGTCTGGCTCTGAGAGCCTCGGTGATTAACACTGAACCCTGTGGGAGCCTCAGTCTGGTTCTGTGAGCCTCAGTGATTAACACTGAACCCTGTGGGAGCCTTAGTCTGGCTCTGTGAGTCTCAGTGATTAACACTGAACCCTGTGGGAGCCTTAGTCTGGCTCTGTGAGTCTCAGTGATTAACACTGAACCCTGTGGGAGCCTTAGTGTGGCTCTGTGAGTCTCAGTGACTAACACTGAACCCTGTGGGAGCCTCAGTCTGGCTCTGTGACTCTCAGCGATTAACACTGAACCCTGTGGGAGCCTCAGTCTGGCTCTGTGAGCCTCAGTGATTAACACTGAACCCTGTGGGAGCCTTAGTCTGGCTCTGTGAGTCTCGGTGATTAACACTGAACCCTGTGGGAGCCTCAGTCTGGCTCTGTGAGTCTCGGTGATTAACACTGAACCCTGTGGGAGCCTTAGTCTGGCTCTGTGAGTCTCAGTTATTAACACTGAACCCTGTGGGAGCCTCAGTCTGGCTCTGTGAGTCTCGGTGATTAACACCGAACCCTATGGGAGTCTCAGTGATTAACACTGAACCCTGTGGGAGCCTCAGTCTGGCTCTGTGAGTCTCGGTGATTAACACTGAACCCTGTGGGAGTCTCAGTCTGGCTCTGCGAGCCTCAGTGATGAACACTGAACCATGTGGGAGCCTTAGTCTGGCTCTGTGAGTCTCAGTGATTAACACTGAACCCTGTGGGAGCCTTAGTCTGGCTCTGTGAGTCTCAGTGATTAACACTGAACCCTGTGAGAGCCTTAGTGTGGCTCTGTGAGTCTCAGTGATTAACACTGAACCCTGTAGGAGCCTTAGTGTGGCTCTGTGAGCCTCAGTGATTAACACTGAACCCTGTGGGAGCCCTAGTATGGCTCTGTGAGTCTCAGTGATTAACACTGAACCCTGTAGGAGCCTTAGTGTGGCTCTGTGAGCCTCAGTGATTAACACTGAACCCTGTGGGAGCCCTAGTATGGCTCTGTGAGTCTCAGTGATTAACACTGAACCCTGTGGGAGTTTTAGTCTGGCTCTGTGAGTCTCAGTGATTAACACTGAACCCTGTGGGAGCGTTAGTCTGGCTCTGTGATTCTCAGCGATTAACACTGAACCCTGTGGGAGCCTTAGTCTCGCTCAGTGAGCCTCAGTGATTAACACTGAACCCTGTGGGAGCCTAGTCTGGCTCTGTGAGCCTCATTGATTAACACTGAACCCTATGGGAGTCTCGGTGATTAACACTGAACCCTATGGGAGCCTCGGTGATTAACACTGAACCCTGTGGGAGCCTCATTGATTAACACTGAACCCTATGGGAGTCTCATTGATTAACACTGAACCCTGTGGGAGCCTCATTGATTAACACTGAACCCTATGGGAGCCTCATTGATTAACACTGAACCCTGTGGGAGTCTCATTGATTAACACTGAACCCTGTGGGAGCCTCATTGATTAACACTGAACCCTATGGGAGCCTCATTGATTAACACTGAACCCTATGGGAGTCTCATTGATTAACACTGAACCCTGTGGGAGTCTCAGTGATTAACACAGAACCCTATGGGAGTCTCAGTGATTAACACAGAACCCTGTAGGAGTCTCATTGATTAACACTGAACCCTGTAGGAGTCTCAGTGATTAACACAGAACCCTATGGGAGTCTCAGTGATTAACACTGAACCCTGTGGGAGTCTCATTGATTAACACTGAACCCTGTAGGAGTCTCAGTGATTAACACAGAACCCTATGGGAGTCTCAGTGATTAACACTGAACCCTATGGGAGTCTCATTGATTAACACTGAACCCTGTGGGAGTCTCATTGATTAACACTGAACCCTGTAGGAGTCTCATTGATTAACACTGAACCCTATGGGAGTCTCAGTGATTAACACTGAACCCTGTGGGAGTCTCATTGATTAACACTGAACCCTGTGGGAGTCTCAGTGATTAACACTGAACCCTGTAGGAGTCTCAGTGATTAACACTGAACCCTATGGGAGTCTCAGTGATTGACACTGAACCCTGTGGGAGTCTCAGTGATTGACACTGAACCCTGTGGGAGTCTCAGTGATTAACACTGAACCCTGTGGGAGTCTCAGTGATTAACACTGAACCCTATGGGAGTCTCATTGATTAACACTGAACCCTGTGGGAGTCTCATTGATTAACACTGAACCCTATGGGAGTCTCATTGATTAACACTGAACCCTGTGGGAGTCTCAGTGATTAACACTGAACCCTGTGGGAGTCTCATTGATTAACACTGAACCCTGTGGGAGTCTCAGTGATTAACATTGAACCCTGTGGGAGTCTCATTGATTAACACTGAACCCTGTGGGAGTCTCACTGATTAACACTGAACCCTATGGCGGTCTCACTGATTAACACTGAACCCTATGGCGGTCTCACTGATTAACATTGAACCCTATGGCGGTCTCACTGATTAACACTGAACCCTGTGGGAGTCTCAGTGATTAACACTGAACCCTGTGGGAGTCTCGGTGATTAACACCGAACCCTGTGGGAGTCTCAGTGATTAACACTGAACCCTATGGGAGCCTCAGTGATTAACACTGAACCCTGTGGGAGTCTCATTGATTAACACTGAACCTTGTGGGAGTCTCAGTGATTAACACTGAACCCTGTGGGAGTCTCAGTGATTAACACTGAACCCTGTGGGAGTCTCAGTGATAAACACTGAACCCTGTGGGAGTATCAGTGACTAACACTGAACCCTGTGGGAGCCTCAGTGATTAACACTGAACCCTGTGGGAGTCTCAGTGATTAACACTGAACCCTGTGGGAGTCTCAGTGACTAACACTGAACCCTGTGGGAGTCTCAGTGATTAACACTGAACCCTATGGGAGTCTCAGTGATTGACACTGAACCCTGTGGGAGTCTCAGTGATTAACACTGAACCCTATGGGAGCCTCAGTGATTAACACTGAACCCTGTGGGAGTCTCATTGATTAACACTGAACCTTGTGGGAGTCTCAGTGATTAACACTGAACCCTGTGGGAGTCTCAGTGATTAACACTGAACCCTGTGGGAGTCTCAGTGATAAACACTGAACCCTGTGGGAGTATCAGTGACTAACACTGAACCCTGTGGGAGCCTCAGTGATTAACACTGAACCCTGTGGGAGTCTCAGTGATTAACACTGAACCCTGTGGGAGTCTCAGTGACTAACACTGAACCCTGTGGGAGTCTCAGTGATTAACACTGAACCCTATGGGAGTCTCAGTGATTGACACTGAACCCTGTGGGAGTCTCAGTGATTAACACTGAACCCTGTGGGAGTCTCAGTGATTAACACTGAACCCTGTGGGAGTCTCAGTGATTGACACTGAACCCTGTGGGAGTCTCAGTGATTAACACTGAACCCTGTGGGAGTCTCAGTGATTGACACTGAACCCTGTGGGAGTCTCAGTGATTAACACTGAACCCTGTGGGAGTCTCAGTGATTAACACTGAACCCTGTGGGAGTCTCAGTGATTAACACTGAACCCTGTGGGAGTCTCAGTGATTAACACTGAACCCTGTGGGAGTCTCAGTGATTAACACTGAACCCTGTGGGAGTATCAGTGACTAACACTGAACCCTGTGGGAGCCTCAGTGATTAACACTGAACCCTGTGGGAGTCTCAGTGATTAACACTGAACCCTGTGGGAGTCTCAGTGACTAACACTGAACCCTGTGGGAGTCTCATTGATTAACACTGAACCCTATGGGAACCTCATTGATTAACACTGAACCCTATGGGTGAAAATGTGACGTCACGTCATCTACGCGCTCGCCGTGGGCGGTAAAAGCCGTTGTCGTGGGTGTGCGTGACGCCATCACGCACAACTCTACAAGCCCCCTCGCTCGTGACGTCATCTGCGCGCGGAGCCGTAAGCGGGAAAATCCGTTGCCGTGGCAGCGCGTGACGTCATCGCGCAAGAACACTCTCTCGTGACGTCATCTGCGCGCGGAGCCGTGGGCGGGAAAATCCGTTGCCGTGGCAGCGCGTGACGTCATCGCGACGGTTTGTGAGGCCGCCCGCGGCGTTTTAAAACGAAGCCGCCGCCGCCTCAAACACGACAACGACGACGATGAATGTTTACACCAAAGTTTAATTATTTTGTTCGTATTAAAATGTAGCTCTCGCTTGAACTAACCGCGCCCCCCTTTGCGGGAATTGACAACAGCCAGAACAGCGACGACAAAAACCACCACCACCATCATCATCACCAGCACCACCATCAGCATCATCAGCATCATCATCATCGCCGTAGACGTAAGTGAAGACGATGAAACGCTTTGACGTCTGAGTTGCTTGCAACCTCGCTGAAGTTTTGCCGTGTTGACTGAAGTTGCCGTGTTGATTGTTCACTGAAGTCGTCTGTGCCGTGACCTCCTGCACCTAGCCTGGCACAGCACCTGGGTCTGTGCCGTGACCTCTTTCTGCACCTAGCCTGGCACAGCAGTCAACCCATAGCACCTGGGTCTGTACCTTGACCTCCTCCTGCACCTAGCCTGGCACAGCAGTCAACCCATAGCACCTAGGTCTGTCCCTTGACCTCCTCCTGCACCTAGCCTGGCACAGCAGTCAACCCATAGCACCTGGGTCTGTCCCTTGACCTCCTCCTGCACCTAGCCTGGCACAGCAGTAAACCCATAGCACCTGGGTCTATGCCGTGACCTCCTCCTGCACCTAGCCTGGCACAGCAGTCAACCCATAGCACTTGCGTCTGTCCCGTGACCTGCACCTAGCCTGGCACATCAGTCAACCCATAGCACCTGCAGGGTCTGTCCCGTGACATCCTCCTGCACCTAGCCTGGCACAGCAGTCAACCCATAGCACCTGGGTCTGTCCCGTGACATCCTCCTGCACCTAACCTGGCACAGCAGTCAACCCATAGCACCTGCTGGGTCTGTCCCGTGACCTGCACCTAGCCTGGCACAGCAGTCAACCCATAGCACCTGGGTCTGTGCCGTGACCTCCTCCTGCACCTAGCCTGGCACAGCAGTCAACCCATAGCACCTGGGCCTGTTCCGTGACCTCCTGCACCTAGCCTGGCACAACAGTCAACCCATAGCACCTGGGCCTGTTCCGTGACCTGCACCTAGCCTGGCACAGCAGTCAACCCAGAGCCGTCCACACTTCGACGTGACAGGCCTCAAAGTGCACTTAGCCTGGCACAAGCGCAGTTGTGAAGTCACCGCTACTAAGTGGGCTTTACCTGATAAAAGAAAAATAGTTTTAGTATTCATCTTCTTGGTTCTTTCGGTAAAGTCACGTAGAAGGTAAATAATAAAAAAAGAAAACATAAAAAAAAATGTATTTTACTATTTTATTATTATTATTTTAGTTTTTATGTTATTACTTCCCTTCTACGTGACTTTACCGAAAGAACCAAGAAGATGAATCCCTGCAGTCACGAAAGCTTTAAATCGAAATTGTTAGTATTTTTAGTGATTCGCGCTTGTATCTTTCCGACCCCGTGTCACCCCCCCCCTGCCCCCCACGACTGGACATCGGATTCCTCCTGCAGCTGAAACATCGATTTGGACGCTGGCGAAAGCCGCAGTCTCTGTCGTCGCGATGTTTCGGACGCCGCTGAACCGAGACAACGCCGGGAGCGAAGGGACGGCTCCGAGACTTTGCCCTCCGTGCACATTTTCGACCACCACAGGTTTGCCCAAATGTTCACGAACAGCCCCTTTCTTCTTCTTGGTTCTTTCGGTAAAGTCACGTAGGATGGAAATAATAAAATAATAAAAATAAAACATCATAAAATATGATAATTGGTTGTTTACCCTTCTATCTGGCAACAAAACTGACACTTTTTTTTTACAAGGAGTCATGTTTGCATAGACCGCAATACCTGCAGTCATAAATACAAACAAAACACATAACTCTGATAATGTGCACTGTCCTTGAAGTTGATTGGTCCACACCCGAGACAGCTTTCCTTAGTCTCACATGGGTTGGACCAGATGACGCCAAAAGGCGTAAACAACCAATTATCATAAAATATGTTTTATTTTTATTATTTTATTATTGATGAAGAAGATGAATCCCTGCAGTCACGAAAGCTTTAAATCGAAATCAGCCCCTTTTTCTCCGTGCTTTGTTTCTAGTAGTGCGTAGTAGTGTATAGTGTAGTGTATAGTGTAGTGTATAGTGTAGTGTATAGTGTAGTGTATAGTGTAGTGTATAGTGTAGTACAGGTAGTCCCCGATTTACGATTGAGATGCGTTACGACGACCCCATCGTAAGTCGAAAATATCGTAAGTCGAAAATGGCCTAGCCTACCCAGGTTCTTTCGGTAAAGTCACGTAGAAGGGAAATAATAAAACATAATAAAATAATTCTCACGACGTTTATTTTATTATGTTTTATTTTTATTATTTCCCTTCTACGTGACTTTACCGAAAGAACCAAGAAGATGAATCCCTGCAGTCACGAAAGCTTTAAATCGAAAGAATGGTGATAATTTAGCAAAACAGAGCAATTTACAGTACCGTACTGTATCAACTATATGCGTACAGTACCTCCCGGCAGCGTCCCAACTTACAGTATCGTACCTCGTACACTGCTGCGTTTGCCTGCCGCGCAAAATGTTAAATATTTCACAATGTTGTCGTTTCGCTATCGCCACCGTAAGATCGAAATATCGTAAGTCGGGGACTACCTGGATTTGATCTCTCCCTTTAACGCAGCTGCTGTGCGTGCGTGCGGTGACTGGACTCCTTTCCATCTCTGACCCCGCCTACTTACCCTTGGGTGACACCCATGTCACCCAAGGGTCCCTGCAGTCACGAAAACTTCAAATCAGGGGTGTATAGCGTAGTCGGTGCTGGATTAACACATTCCTGCGGAGGGAGCTGGTAGGAACGTTGGGTTGCTCGGTCAATGGCCAGGGTCAACGGCGGCGTGGTGTATTTCGCAAATATGGGCGACTGTGAGGGCGGGCACAAGCCGGCGTGAGTAGGTTAAACGTTGAGTTTTATAAGGGCACCACGGAGTGAGCAGCCCCTCCCCACCCAGCCCCACCCCTCCCACACGCCACCCAGGCCCACCCTCCCTACCCAGCCCCTCCCCAACCTCCTCTCCCCACCCAGCCCCACCCCTCCCATTTTTGGATGCACGACGGACGGACACAATAATCCCCCAAATGCGAACAGCACAAGGAGGTGAGCAGCTACAAAATGGGACATTTTATTGTGTTTTATAAGGGCACCACGGGGTGACCAGCCCCTCCCCACCCAGCCCCACCCCTCCCACCCCCCACCCAGCCCCCACCCCCCACCCTCCCCACCCAGCCCCTCCCCACCCTCCCAACCCAGCCCCTCCCCATCCTCCCCTCTCCACCCAGCCCCACCCATCCCATTTTTGGATGCCTTGATCCGGCCCTAAGTGTAGTGTATAGTAGCGTAGTGTATAGTAGTGTAGTGTATACGGTAGTGTATAGTAATGTATAGTGTAGTAGAGCATAGTAGTGTGTAGTAATGTATAAGAGTGTATAGTCGTGTGTAGTAGTGTCTACTGTAGTGTATAGTAATGTATAGTGTAGTAGAGCATAGTAGCGTATAGTAATGTATAAGAGTGCATAGTCGTGTGTAGCAGTGTATAGTAGTGTATAGTGTAGTAGTGTGTAGGAGTGTATAGTGTAGTAGTGTATAATGTAGTGGAAAGTAATGTATAGTGTAATACAGCATAGTAGTGTATAGTAATGTAGAAGAGTGTGTAGTAGTGTATAGTAGTGTATAGTGTAGTAGTGTATACTGTAGTGTATAGTGTAGGAGTGTATAGTCGTGTATACTGTAGTGTATCGTAGTGTATAGTGTAGTAGTGTATAGTGTAGTAGTGTATAGTAGTGTATAGTGTAGTAGTGTGTAGTAGTGTATAGTGTAGTAGTGTATAATGTAGTGTAAAGTAATGTATAGTGTAGTAGAGCATAGTAGTGTATAGTAATGTAGAAGCGTGTGTAGTAGTGTATAGTAGTGTATAATGTAGTAGTATATACTGTAGTGTATAGTGTAGGAGTGTATAGTCGTGTATACTGTAGTGTATAGTGTAGTAGTGTATAGTGTAATAGTGGATGCCTTTGATCAGTTCAGATAATCCGTCACCGTTGTTGGCGGCCGTGAGCGGGAATCGAATTCGGGCGGCCGCCGGTTTCGTCGTGCAGCGTAGCGCTAACCGCTGCACCGCCGCTCCCCGTAATACAGTGATCCCTCGTTTGTCGCGGTTAATGGGGACCGGAACCCCTCGCGATAGGTGAAAATCCGCGAAGTAGGATTGGCCCCCTAGGAATTTCCGTATATGTGTGTGTGGGTACCAGAATGTTTAAAATATGTATATTTATACTTTATATATTTTACTTAAATCTATTTAATTATAAAACCTTAATATTATACATTCACTCTCTCTCTCTCATACGATACGTATTATGGTGTCCTACACTCACCAATGACAGTAGTATCTTGAGACTTGACTCCAGTAATGATGACGATGACAGACCTGTGCAGTTCGATGAATGTGATGATGAATGATGATGATGATGATGGTGGTGTTGCTGCACAGGTATAATGAGGCCTTTAAATCAGTTCGAAAAATCCGCGATGCACTGAGGCCGCGAAACTTGAACCGCGAAGTGGCGAGGGATTTACTGTACCTCACCTCCGTTGTCGGACGCGTGCCGGCAAGCCTGACACAAACCCGCGCGCGTGCGCGTGGTTCTTGTTCCTTGTTCCCAGACGCCGCCAGCCTCATCCCTCCGTCTCACTTTACCACGCCGGCGACCCCGAAGCAACCGGCAGCCAAGTTCGATTCCTTTCACCAGGAAGTGCTGCACCTCAGGCAGGAGAACGGACGCCTTAAAGAGGCCCTCCTGTGGACAACGGCCGCCCCCTTAGGTAGGTGAGGTTCACGAAGGCGTACAACTCAAACACAGTGCAATATCAGAGTATTGAGAGCTCGGGGTAAGCATTTACACTATGAGATCTCTTTTACCAGTGGCAAATACTCTGATATTGCACTGTGTTTGAGTTGTACGCCTTCTGGTGTCATCTGGTCCAACACCAATGGGGACTAGGCTCTAAAGAAAGCCGTCTCGGGTGTGTACCAATCAACTTCAAGGGCAGTGCATATTATTATTATCAGAGTTGCTTCTTTTTGTTTGCTTTTTTGACTACTTGTGTTGTGGGTATTGCAAACTTGATGCCTTGAATAAAGGTGTCAGTTTTGTACCAGTTTAAAAGGGTAAAAACCTACTACTATATTTTGCCACTGGTAAAAGGGATCTCATAGTGCAAACAATATATGGCATTGTCTTTGACAAACTGATTGGCCTACACCAGAGACAGCCTTCTTTAGGGCCTGGTCTCACCAGTGTCAGACCAGGGAACGCCCAAATGCGAACAGCACAAGGAGGTGAGCAGCTACAAAATGGGACATTTTATTGTGCCGGCATCGTGAGCAATCGTTAAGCGTGGAAATGTTTTCTGTTCACTGAAGGTTTGCCGGGGCAGTCGAGACTCGAAGGCGCGCAGGTGAGAATGGTGATATTGCTACAGTAATAATAATCACATACAGACTGTGGTCAATCCGCTGCTGGATGAAGATGACCCTGCAGTGGGGAGATGTTAACAACCTCGCCTGGTGTACAGGAGGTCGTGGGTTCGATCCCAGACACTGTGAGATGTTAACTACCTCGCCTTGTGTACAGGAGGTCGTGGGTTCGATCCCAGACCCTGTGAGATGTTAACTACTTCGCCTGGTATACAGGAGGTCGTGGGTTCGATCCCAGACCCTGTGAGATGTTAACTACCTCGCCTGGTATACAGGAGGTCGTGGGTTCGATCCCAGACCCTGTGAGATGTTAACTACCTCACCTGGTGTACAGGAGGTCTTGGGTTCGATCCCAGACCCTGTGAGATGTTAACTACCTCGCCTGGTATACAAGAGGTCGTGGGCTCGATCCCAGACCCTGTGAGATGTTAACTACCTCGCCTGGTTTACAGGAGGTCGTGGGTTCGATCCTAGACCCTGTGAGATGTTAACTACCTCGCCTGGTATACAGGAGGTCGTGGGTTCGATCCCGACCCTGACGATACCTGCTGTATATTTAGAGTCTGCGTGTCTCGATTTCATCATCACAGTGGCTAGGAGATATTAATTACCTCGCCTGGTATACAGGAGGTCATGGGTTCGATCCCAGACCCTTTGAGATGTTAACTACCTCGCCTGGTATACAGGAGGTCGTGGGTTCGATCCCGACCCTGACCCCTGGTGTATATTTGGAGTCTGCGTGTCTCTATCTCATCATCATCATCATCACGGTGGTGAGATATTAACTACCTCGCCTGATAATGATTATGATAATAGTGATGATGATGGTTGTGGTGATGATGATGGTCCTGAGGATTTTGATAACATTGATGATGATGATGGTAGTGGTGATGGTGGTCATGATGATCACGATAACGGTTATGGTGGTGGTGGTGGTGATGATGGTTGTGATGACATTGGCAATAGTGGTGACGATGATGGTGGTTGTCACGTCGGACCCGACTGCAGGAGATGCGTCTACCGCACGAAGAGCGCGGGAGAATTCGTAGTGAAGAGCGGGAGAGGGTGCGGAGGGAGGAGAGAGTGCGTAGTGAGGAGAGGGAGAGAGTGCGGAGTGAGGAGAGAGTGCGGGGCGAAGAGAGACACCGAATATACGGCGAGGAGCTGGATAGAGTGCGTCGTGAGGAGAGAGAGAGGGTACGTAGTGAGGAGAGGGAGAAAGTACGGAGCGAAGAGAGAGACCGGATATACGGCGAGGAGCTGGAGAGAGTGCGTCGTGAGGAGAGGGAGAGAATACGGAGCGAAGAGAGAGACCGGATCTACGGCGAGGAGCTGGAGAGAGTGCGGAGTGAGGAGAGAGAGAAAGTACGGAGCGACTACGGAGACCGGATATACGGCGAGGAGATGGAGAGAGTGCGTAGTGAGGAGAGGGAGAAAGTGCGGGTAGAAGAGAGAGACCGGATCTACGACGAGGAGATGGAGAGAGTGCGTAGTGAGGAGAGGGAGAGAGTACGGAGCGAAGAGAGAGACCGGATCTACGACGAGGAGATGGAGAGAGTGCGTAGTGAGGAGAGGGAGAGAGTACGGAGCGAAGAGAGAGACCGGATCTACGACGAGGAGATGGAGAGAGTGCGTAGTGAGGAGAGGGAGAGAGTACGGAGCGAAGAGAGAGACCGGATATACGGCGAAGAGCTGGAGAGAGTGCGGGGCAAAGAGCGCGAGAGAATCCGGGCGGAGGAGCGGGAGGGAGCTCTCCGCGGAGAGCGGGAGGAGGAGCGGGAGCTGTCCCGCCTCGGGTCCCTGCTGCGGGAGACGGAGCGCCGTGAGGAGCAGCTGCAGCAGGAGCTGGGGTCCGTCTGCCCTTCACAACGACACTCACAGTGAAGGTTTTATGGGTTAGATCGCGTCAATATGAATGCGTCGTGAAACTACACACCAGCAGGTGAAGGCGCACCAGAGGTCGCAAACAGGTTTTGATTCCTTACCCGTACCCGGCCGCACCAGGGTCGCAAATGGGTACCCGTACCCCGCCGCGTACGGGTAGCAGTTCCCTACCCGTACCCTACCCGAAATGAGTGACAAACAGTTACTCACCAGTGACTCACGGCCTACCCGTACCCGTACCGGGCCGCACCAGGGTCGCAAACAGGTACCCGTACCCCTACCCGGCCGGGTACGGGTAGCCGGGTATCGGGTAGGGTACGGGTATCGGGTACCCATACCCTTACCCGGTCGGGTACGGGTAGCCGGGTATCGGGTAGGGTACGGGTATCGGGTACCCATACCCGTACCCCTACCCGGCCGGGTACGGGTAGCCGGGTATCGGGTAGGGTACGGGTATCGGGTACCCGGTTGCGACCTCTGAGGTGCACTGAGCTTCCCTGGGACTCCTCTGCTTACGAACGAGTTCGGTTCCAGAGGTCTGTTCGTAAGTCCAACTTTACTCCCGTCGATTCCAAACGCGTTGTGCGGCGCGTACACATAAACACGGGGAATGGCTTTAAAAGTTGTATAATCTCCTGTAGATGCCACTGGTTATTCACGTTCTCTCACTCTCTGAATCCTTCTCTACTCTCAGAATCAATCTCTGCCCTCTCACTCTCGCTGATTCATTCTCTACTCTCTCAACAAATCATTCCCTCCACTCTCTCCCACTGTGCCGGGTGAGCAACAACCGTGTGTTACGAATTGTCGTGATAACAATAGCGCACCTGCATTCGTATTCAAGTTCATGTATTAGGTACAAGCCCTGTGAGCCATTCGGCTCTTGAATCGGGTGCAACCGCAACAAACAAAAAACAAAAACATGAACAAGACAACATCTTAAAGTGATTCATCTTCTTGGTTCTTTCGGTAAAGTCACGTAGAATGGAAATAATAAAAATGAAACATTCTACGTGACTTTACCGAAAGAACCAAGAAGATGAATCCCTGCAGTCACGAAAGCTTCAAATCGAAATCTTAAAGTGAATATGTGACTGAGTGCAAACAGAAAATCCAAGAAAAGACAGCAAAATATTGCAGAAAAAATGAACCCGTAAAAACAAAGTTTTTCACTATAAATCCTTTATATGCGTGGCATCGGTTTTATTTTATTATTCATTTCTGGTTTTCTTGAGTAAGAGTTTCATTTTTATCACATTGCTATTTTAAATTAAATATGACATTTTTTTTTTCCTAAAAAGTGGAAAATTTTGGAACAAAAATTTTCACGAAAATAAATTGTCACGCACAACGAGTCTGTGTGGAAAATGTCAGCTCGATTGGATCACGGGAAGTGGGTTAAAAAACGAGCGAAAGATTTGCACGGTCCTAAGCAAGCAAGCGAACTTAATATAAAGGATTTAAAAATATATTCGCCTGTGGAGGACGCGGGGATCGATCCCGCGACCTTTGGCATGGGAAGCGAGGGCGCTACCAACTGCGCTACTCCGCCACGGCCTGTTGGAGGGGTTACGCTTTGGGCTCCTACACTGTGACGTTCAGCCAAAGCCATGAATGAGTTGTATTTTAATAAATGTAAAATCATTTTTTTTTGCCTAAAAAGTGTAAAATTTTGGGAATTTTTTTTCACGAACAATAATTGTCTGGTACAACGAGTCTGTGTGGAAAATGTCAGCTCGATTGGATCACGGGAAGTGGGTTAAAAAACGACCGAAAGATTTGCACGGTCCTAAGCAAGCAAGCACGCAAGCACGCGAACTTAATATAAAGGATTTAAAAAGCACCGTACACAAAAATGTGCACAAATCCCAGTGGGATGCAAGTCAAACAACAACAACAACCACAAGACACGTGGGGAGCGGTAGCGCAGCAGTTAGCTCGCCGCGCTACGAGCCCATCGACTCGAGTTAATTTCCCGCTTAGCCGGTCCTGGACTTCCCCCTAGGTCGGCTCGGCCTTAAACGGTTACCCGGGGTATGGCGCGTAAACATCGGCACCGGGGGGGCAGAGCGGTCCGGCCCGTGGTGTCAGCCACGCCGCACTTGCCCCAACGGCCTGTGTGGGCTACACTGTGTGAGGGGTCGTCTTTGTCTTTGTTGCGCAGGCAGTGCCGCAGTGATGCCGCGAGTCAAGCGCAGCTGGTGCAGCAGATGCGGCGCTACGTGGGCACCCGGGCACAGCACGAGGAGGAGGAGGAAGGACCCGACAGGGACAGTCTGTTGGCGCGCGTACAGGTCAGTGTGTGCGTGCGTGTGTGCGTGCGTGTGTATGTGCGCGTGTGTATGTGCACGTGTGTATGTGCGCGTGTGTGTGTGTGGGGGGGGGAGCGGTGGTGTAGTGGTTAGCGCTACGAACCCGGCAACAACCCGAGTTCGATTGCCGCTCACGGTTAACACCAGCGATGATTATCTGTCTCCCTTGTGTCTCCCTGCGTCTCCCCGCGTCTCCCCGCGTGTCTCCCCGCGTGTCTCCCTGTATCTCCCTCTATCTCCATGTGTCTCCCTGTGTCTCCCTCTATCTCCGTGTGTCTCCCTGTGTCTCCCTGTATCTCCATGTGTCTCCCTGTATCTCCATGTGTCTCCCTGCGTCTCCCTGCGTCTCCCCGCGTCTCCCCGTGTGTCTCCCTATGTCTCCCCGTGTGTCTCCCTGTGTCTCCCCGTGTGTCTCCCCTGTGTCCCCCCTGTGTGTCTCCCTACGTGTCTCCCCACGTCTCCCTGTGCGTCTCCCCGTGTGTCTCCCTGTGTCTCCCCGTGTGTCTTCCTGTGTCTCCCCGTGTGTCTCCCCGCGTCTCCCCGTGTGTCTCCCCGTGTGTCTCCCTGTGTGTCTCCCCGTGTGTCTCCCTGTGTCTCCCCGTGTGTCTCCCCGTGTGTCTCCCTGTGTCTCCCCGTGTGTCTTCCTGTGTCTCCCCGTGTGTCTCCCTGTGTGTCTCCCCGTGTGTCTCCCTGTGTCTCCCCGTGTGTCTCCCCGTGTGTCTCCCTGTGTCTCCCCGTGTGTCTCCGTGTGTCTCCCTGTGTCTCCCCGTGTGTCTCCCTGTGTCTCCCTGTGTCTCCCCGTGTGTCTCCCTGTGTCTCGCTGTGTCTCCCCGTGTGTCTCCCAGGTTCTGGAGAAGGAAAACTCCCGCCTCCGGGCAGAGTCGGAGCTGCAGTGTCTCCGTCTCTCGTCGCTGTCTCACATCCTGACCACGCAGGAGGCCATTATACACCCACCGGTCAGACACTCACACACGCACAGACACTCGCTCACACACGCACAGACCCTCACTCACTCACGCACAGACCCTCACTCACACACGCACAGACCCTCACTCACACACGCACAGACACTCACTCACACACGCACAGACCCTCACTCACACACGCACAGACACTCACTCACATACGCACAGACACTCGCTCACACACGCACAGACACTCACTCACACACGCACAGACACTCGCTCACACACGCACAGACCCTCACTCACACACGCACAGACACTCACACACGCACAGACCCTCACTCACATACGCACAGACACCCGCTCACACACGCACAGACACTTGCTCACACACGCACAGACCCTCAATCACACACGCACAGACACTCACACACGCACAGACACTCACTCACACACGCACAGACACTCGCTCACACACGCACAGACCCTCACTCACACACACACAGACCCTCACTCACGCACGCACAGACACTCACACACGCACAGACACTCACTCACACACGCACAGACACTCACTCACACACGCACAGATAATCGTCGCTTTTGTTGGTGGCCGTGAGCGGGAATCAAACTTGGGTCGCTGGGTTCTTAGTGCAGCGCGCTAACCGCTCCACTACATACACAACAACAACAGCAATCACCGTTCACCACTAAGTGGCGGTGATGTCACCACGCCGCTTGTGCCAGGCTAGGTGCACTTTAAGAACACGTGAAGTGTCAAAGGCCCGCTGGCAGGTTACAGGACAGTCCTAGCAGGTGCCACGGGTCGACTGACTGAGACGACTGGCCGATGCACCACCTGTGCCCTCTACTGTGCCAACTTGCTGTGTTTTAGCCACCCGGCGCTCCGCTCGCTGTTGTGAGGGTCGCTCCTCCGTTGTTGCTGGAGGGCGACTGCCTCCAACTGCCCAGTAGCAGCGTCCTTCACGAGCCTCCTCCACAGAGGCCGATCTTGACACCGCTGGTACCAGTCGTCGGCAAGTCCACCAATAACCCCCCGCCCCCTCCTCTGATAGGCTCACAGTGATGACATCGCCTTTGCTTTATTTAAGACCGTCAGCAAGAAGACTCCATCACAATTCTGGCAAATCGCCTGATGAAGCTTAAATTGCAAACGTCGTGGGTTTACTCCCCAGCAGAGGTCGCAACCGGGTACCCGATACCCGTACCCTACCCGATACCCGGCTACCCGTACCCGCCGGGTACGGGTAGCTGTTTGCGACCCTGGTGCGGCCGGGTACGGGTAGGCCGTGAGTCACTGGTGAGTAACTGTTTGTCACTCATTTCCCAACGTCTTGTCTCTTCTCACAATTCAAGTTCCTAGAATCAACCCACCCGCGTCTGCAACACGGCTTCATCCCAGAGGTCGCAATCGGGTACCCGTCCCTGTACCTTACACGATACCCGGCCGGGTACGGGTAGCCGGGTATCGGGTAGGGTACGGGTACCCATTTGCGACCCTGGTGCGGCCGGGTACGGGTAAGGAATCAAAACCCGTTTGCGACCTCTGCTCTCCAGCGCTGATCGCCCCCCCCCCCCCCAACAACAACAACAACAACAAAACGTCATCACGAACGGTGACGATGCTGACCATTCCGACAGCAGCGACAGTCGCAGAGAGGAGACGCTAGCGCTGACGCTAGCGCATCCTAATCGCGTGCGTCGAACCCAGGCGGCGAAGGGTGACGACCTCACCGCTGGCGGCGACGGGGACGGGCGGCCGCCGCCGCCGCTGCTGCTGCTGTCGTGTTGGCGTCAGAAAGCGTACGCTCTCCTCGTGCAGCTCAGCTGCCAGGAGGCGCAGCAAAGGAAGGAGGCGAGAGAGCGACAGACCGAGGTACGCAAAACGACGGCCGCCGATCCGACACCGAACGGTGGCCGGTCGTTGTTGGTCGGCGCGAGCCGTCGGTGGCTTGTCAGCGGTTGGAGGAGGTAGCCCCCCCAACGCCCTGCGAGTGACCGGATGATTTGTGGACGTGAGTCTGTGTTCATAATCAACGTTTTTGGGTTTAGATCGTCGCGTTATTTATAAATGTGTCGTAACCCGCCACCACCCGACACGGCCAATCAGTAAAAAATTTACCCGTAAAAACAAAGTTTTTCACTATAAATCCTTTATATGCGTGGCATAGGTTTTATTTTATTATTCATTTCTGTTTTTCTTGAGTAAGAGTTTCATTTTTATCACATTGGTATTTAAAATTAAAGATGAAAAAAATTTTTTCCTAAAAAGTGGAAAATTTTGGAAAAAAATTTTCACAAAAATTAATTGTCACGCACAACGAGTCTGTGTGCAAAATGTCAGCTCGATTGGATCACGGGAAGTGGGTTAAAAAACGACCGAAAGATTTGCACGGTCGTAAGCGCGCAAGCAAGCGAACTTAATATAAAGGATTTAAAAAAGTGTCACGCTTCAACACACCGGTGTGGGGCTAAAGCAGTGAACTATTTTGTCTTTTGTCAACGTGACACTTTTTATTAAATCCTTTATATTAAGTTCGCTTGCTTGCGCGCTTACGACCGTGCAAATCTTTCGGTCGTTTTTTAACCCACTTCCCGTGATCCAATCGAGCTGACATTTTCCACACAGACTCGTTGTGCGTGACAATTAATGTTCGTGAACATTTTTTCCAAAATGTTACACTTTTTAGGACAAAAATATATTTTATTACCAATTGCTTAATGGTGGCAGGCAATCATCTGACCCATAGGTGGCAGCCATCTCAAGCCAGAGGACGAGAGGTCTCTAGCCGCCACGCATATAAAGGATTTATAGTGAAAAACTTTGTTTTTACGGGATTATATTTTACTGATTGGCCGTGTCGGGTGGTGGAGGGTTACGACACATTTATAAATAACGCGACAATCTAAACCCAAAAACGTTGATTATGAATAATATTGGTCACGAAAGCCTGCTACGTGTTAAAGTGAGTCTGTGTGTCCGGTGATGATTACCCGAATCGGTCCTGGGGCCTCCCCTAGGTCGACTCGGCCTCAAATGAGTTACCTGGTGTAGCGGTGTGTAGTAAACGTGTGTGTGTGAGTCGATATTTGTGCGTGTAACTTCATGTGTGTGTATCTAAAGTCCATGTCTGTGTGTCTGAGTCCGTATGTGTATGTAGGCCAATGTGTGTGTGAGTTTATGTATGTGCGTGAGTCCGTGTGTGTGTGGCTAAACGGGGGCTCTGGACGGGTGTGAGGGGCTGGTAACCCCTCCACCTTCAATTCATTACCACTAAACCACGAATTAAACATAAACCTGTAACAAATAAGCTTGTGCCGGAGGCCCCGGGGGGTCAGGCTTTTATGACGTCTCCTGGCCAAACCCCATTTGGCGGAGCCAGGAGATTGAATTTTCACCCTCGGGGCTCCTCCAGAAACAACAAAAAACCATTGCGGATGGCCACGTGGAATGTTCGAACGCTCACTGCGGAGGAGAGGCTGCCACTCCTCTGTCGGGAGCTGGACCGGTACCGCCTGGATCTCTGTGGCATTCAGGAGGTCCGGTGGACCGGTTCTGGCTCCTGCCACCATGAGGGGTGGACAGTCCTCTACTCGGGGCAGGAGACTGCCAAACAACAGGGTGTGGCTCTTCTTCTGAACAAAAGAATGAAGGGGGCGTGGGAGCGTGGCGGTGAGGTGTGGGAAGCTGTAAGCCCCAGGATACTTTGGGCTCGCCTTCCCATCAACCAGAGGCGAGGAGTGGTGGTCGTGGTTACTTATGCCCCCACCGAAGACGAACATCCGTGGAGGGATGCAAGCAAAGCCGATGAGTCAGACGCTTTCTATGACCTCCTGTCACAGGTGCTGGCTAAAGTGGCCACTCGGGACAGAGTCATCTTGTTGGGTGACTTCAATGCCCGAGTTGGTCATGATGCTGACACCTGGTCTGGAGTGATTGGAAGGCATGGGCCAGATCACCTCAATAATAACGGTAGGAGGCTGCTAGATTTTTGTGCAGCCCATGGGCTTGTAATTACCAACACGCTCTTCCGGCATCGGCGCATCCACACAACATCATGGATACATGCCGGGTCCAAGCAAGAACATCTGCTGGACTACATAGTGACGGACCAGCGGATGCGAACCCATGTCCTTGACACCAGGACCTACCGTGGAGCTGATCTGTCCTCTGACCATCGACTAGTCATCTGTAAGATGCGCCTGCCTTTCTTCCACTCCGGTGGTGGGTGTACACCCAGGATCCCATTCCAACCAAAAGTGGCCTGGTCTCAGTTAGCTGATGAAAGTTGCAAGCGAGAATTTCATCATCGCTTGCAGCTGGGGTTGGCATCGTCCCCCACTCCACCTGATGTCGAGGGTAAATGGGCGAGGTTTAGGACTGTGACTCATGCAGCTGCAATGGCTGCTTTGGGTACGCGGTCCAGACCTCCCCAGAAACCCTGGCTGACAGAGGAGGTGTTCAGGTTAATTGAGAAAAAGCGACAGGCCCACTCTCATCGCCTACAGCATCCCACGTCAGAGAATGAGGAGGTTTACCGCAGCCTTCGCTCGGAAGTTCGGAGAGCTGTAAGGCGTTGTAAGGATGGGTGGTGGTCGCGGGTTGCTGAGGAGATGGAGTCTGCCTCAGTGGCCCGTGATCACAAATCACTATTTAACTCCATCAAAAAAGTAACCTGCAGCGCCACACCTATTACCATCATTAGAGGAAAAAACGGTGATCCAATCTCCGACCCCCAGGAACAGGTTTGCAGATTTGCTGAGCATTTCTGTGAGGTCCTGGGGGAGGGAAATTCTCTCAGCCAGGAAAACATCATGGCACAAAGTGGGGATAACCCTGCTGAGGCTGCGGTGCCTCAAATATTGGAAGAGGTCACCCCCTGTGAGTGGCTGGCTGAGGTTCCAGCTGTTGAGGAAGTACTGAGGGCGATCCGGAGTCTGAGACCAGGGAAGGCACCGGGCAGAGATGATCTCCCAAGCGAAATGCTGAGGGAGGGTGGCGTTTGTGCACAGACTGCCCTATATGACATCATAACAACAGTCTGGACCACTGGACGGGTTCCGCAGGACTGGAAGGATGCCCTGGTGGTCCCCCTCTTTAAGAAGGGGGACCGCACAGACTGTAACAACTACAGGGGCATCTCACTCCTCAGTGTGCCGGGTAAGGTCCTGGCAAGGATTATTCAACATCGCCTTGCTAGGCACGCTGAGGAGGGGCTTGCGGAGCCCCAATGCGGTTTCAGGAAAGGGCGGTCCTGCACAGATGCCATATTTTCTGTCCGTCTGCTACAGCAGAGGTGTAGGGAATTCCAAAAAGACCTACATCTCTGCTTTATTGACCTGGTCAAGGCCTATGATACCATCAGTAGGACTGGACTCTGGGTTGTTCTTCGTGCTTTCGGAGTCCCTGACCCTCTGCTCACGATCATTAAGGACCTTCATGATGGTGAGCGGGCCCGGGTAAAACTACGTGGCCGGGAGTCGGAGCCTTTCCCTGTACACCTTGGGGTGCGACAGGGATGTCCTCTGGCTCCCACATTATTTAACATCTATTTTGACCGCGTAGTTCGTGAAGCCTTCAATAGCTGTACCGGGGGAATTTCCGTTTGGTACAGATATAATGGGAGGCTGATCGACGCCCGGGTGCGATCAAGGGATGGCTCCCTATTGGTCAACCACGTTATGTATGCCGATGATTTGGTAATAGCTGCTCATTCAGAAGAGGAGTTGGAGGCGCTGCTGCTGAGACTGGAGCGTGCCACTAAGAGGTGGGGCCTTACCATCAGCCCCACCAAAACCAAGCACCTGCCTGGGTATTTTGTACCATCGGACACTCCACCCCCACAACTCCCAATTGATGATGGGGCAGTTGTGGAGAGAGTGGAGAGTTTCCCATACCTGGGCAGTGTGCTTATGACCGGCTCCAGTCTATCAGCAGAGGTCTCACTCCGAATCAGTCGAGCGGCAATATCTTTTCATCGGTTGCGTAACGCTGTGTGGAAGCTACCTGGTCTGTCGCTCCGCACGAAGCTTCAGGTCTTCTCGGCCACGGTCATTCCCTCCCTTCTCTACGCTTGCGAGACGTGGACCCCCCTGGTGGAGCATCTTCGCCGGTTGGAAACATTTAGGCTGGCCTGCCTACGATCCATCCTGGGTTTAACCAGGCTGGATTGTGTGAGGAGCTCACAAATCCTTGAAAGATCTGGGCAAAGTCCCATCAGTGAGCTCCTCCGGCAGGCAAGGCTGCGTTGGCTGGGTCATGTAGCCCGCATGCCCAGCCACCGCATGCCTAAACAGCTTTTGTTCGGCCGGATCGAGGGGGCTAGACGGGCGCGGCACGGGCTGGAGAAGAGATGGAGTGATGTGGTACAGGAGGACGTGGAGCTGAGTGGACTTGCCGATGACTGGTACCAGCGGTGTCAAGATCGGCCTCAGTGGAGGAGGCTCGTGAAGGACGCTACTGGGCAGTTGGAGGCAGTCGCCCTCCAACAACAACGGAGGGCGGAGGAGCGACGCTCACAACAACGAGCGGAGCGCCGGGTGGCTAAAGCACAGCAAGTTGGCACAGTAGGGGGCACAGGTGGTGCATCAGCCAGTCATCTCGGTCATCTCGGTCAGTCGACCAGTGGCACCTGGGTCTGCCCCGTGACCTCCTGCCAGCGGGCTTTCGACACTTCACGTGGCCTCAAGGTGCACTTGGCCTGGCACAAGCATCGTGGTGACGTCACCGCCACTTAGTGGCGAATGGCGGTTGTTGTTGTTGTTGTGTGTGTGTAAGTCGATGTGTGTCCGTGGGGCCGTGTGTGTGGGGAGCGGTAGTGTAGCGGTTAGCACGCTGCACTACGAACCCGGCGACCCGGGTTCGATTCCCGCTCACGGCAAACACCAGTGACGATTATCTGAACCGGTTCTGGGCCTCCCCTAGGTCGACCCAGCCTCAAATGAGTACCTGGTGCGGTGTCTAAACATTGCCGCGGGGGAGACAAAGGCGGCCGGGCGTGGTGCTGGCCACCCACCCCCTCGTGTTCCGTGTCGGTGCTCGCTTGCAACACTTGCCCCGACAGCCTGCTAAGGCTATACGGGGGATCTTTGTCTTTGTACAGCTGTTGGAACTGCAGCAGGTCCTGCGGAGGAACGAGGGGCAGGTGAAGATACTGGAACTCGGCCTCTCCGACCGCACGGCCGAACTGAAGCTGCAGACCATCAGGGCTCAGGTTCAACTCCCTTGACAGCCACCACCACCGTTGTTGGTGGTGTTATTGTTGTTGTTGGTGGAATTGTTGTTGGTGGTGGTGTTGTTGTTGGTGGTATTGTTGGTGGTGGTGGTATTGCTGTTGGTGGTGGTATTGTTGTTGGTGGTATTGTTGTTGTCGTTGGTGGTATTGTTGTTGTTGTGGTGTCAGGGTCTCCAGGAGGATCTGGATGCGCTGAGGGCAGCGGCCCAAGAAGCCCAGCAGAGGGCAGCGCGGGCAGAAGCGGCGGTGCACCGACTGCAGGAAACAGTCAGCAGGTAGGAAACCCCCCCTCCCCCCGCCCCTCCCCGCCCCTCCCCCCTCCCCGCCCCCCACCCCTCCCCCCTCCCCGCCCCTCCCCCTCCCCTCTCCCCCTCCCCGCCCCTCCCCCCTCCCCGCCCCCCACCCCTCCCCCCTCCCCGCCCCTCCCCCTCCCCTCTCCCCCTCCCCGCCCCTCCCCCCTCCCCGCCCCTCCCCCTCCCTCACCTCCCTCTCCCTCCCCCCGCCCCTCCCCGCCCCTCCCCGCCCCCCACCCCTCCCCCCTCCCCGCCCCTCCCCTCTCTCCCTCCCCGCCCCTCCCCCCTCCCCGCCCCTCCCCCTCCCTCACCTCCCTCTCCCTCCCCCCGCCCCTCCCCGCCCCTCCCCGCCCCCCACCCCTCCCCCCTCCCCGCCCCTCCCCTCTCTCCCTCCCCGCCCCTCCCCCCTCCCCGCCCCTCCCCCTCCCTCACCTCCCTCTCCCTCCCCCCGCCCCTCCCCGCCCCTCCCCCCTCCCCGCCCCCCACCCCTCCCCCCTCCCCGCCCCTCCCCCTCCCCTCTCCCCCTCCCCGCCCCTCCCCCCTCCCCGCCCCCCACCCCTCCCCCCTCCCCGCCCCTCCCCCTCCCCTCTCTCCCTCCCCGCCCCTCCCCCCTCCCCGCCCCTCCCCCTCCCTCACCTCCCTCTCCCTCCCCCCGCCCCTCCCCGCCCCTCCCCCCTCCCCGCCCCCCACCCCTCCCCCCTCCCCGCCCCTCCCCTCACCGCCCCTCCCCCCTCCCCGCCCCTCCCCCCTCCCCGCCCCTCCCTCCTCCCCGCCCCTCCCTCCCCTCCTCTCCCCTCCCCTCCCCTCTCCCCCTCCCCTCTCTCTCTCCCTCTCCCCCTCCCCGCCCCTCCCCCGCCTGCTGTGTAATTGGAGTCTGCGTGTCTCTATCTCATCATCGCATCATCACGCTGGCTAGGAGATGTTAACTACCTCGCCTGGTATACAGGTGGGCGCGGGTTCGATCCCGACCCTGACGCCTGCTGTGTAATTGGAGTTTGCGCGTTCTCCCCCGTGGTCACGTGGATTTTTCTCCAGGTCCCCTCCGCATTTAGAAACACGCCTTTCAGAGTATTCGGCCGCAGTAAATTTCCATGTGGTAAACCGCTTCGTTGCGCTATCATTTGTGGTGGCCAGGTCGCTTCTGATAAAAAGCTACGTATCTCAGTGGGCCTCACCTGGTGAAATAAACATCGTTTAAAAAAATAGGTTTTATTGACACGCAGAAGATCCCTGGTTTGGATCTTCCATGAAGCTCACGGTCCACCCTCAACCGCATCCACTGCACAAACCGTGGAAGATCCGGACGCAAATGAACGACACGATCACCCCGCTGCCGATCTCGTCAAGCAGCACGAACCATCGTGGCGCGAACTCCACTCGTCATCCTCGCAGCAGCTGCAACAGCAGCAGCAACAGCAGCAGCAGCAACAGCAGCAACAGCAGCAGCAGCAACAGCAGCAGCAACAGCAGCAGCAGCAACAGCAGCAACAGCAGCGGCTTTTGGCTGGGCCATCGAACAGAGACGTTGGCCACAGAATCTGAAAGCGCCGCTCCTGCGGTTGCCTGGAGCGCTGTTCCCCTTCCAATATTAGGAGGCCACTTGGAGCTACGCTGCCACTTTTACATCGTCATCGTCGTCATCGTCGAGATTAACAAACTAATTCTTTAGAACTGCTTATTTAGTTTGTTGTCTCTCCCCCGTGCCTCCGATTTAGCACGGTTGGCTTTGCGTACGGTGCGGGAGAATTTCAACGTACACACACACGCGCACGTCCTTACGGATGGACGCTGCCTCTTGACAGGCGCTGGAGAGAGGTGACGGAGAGCGAAGGGAAAGTCGTGGGCGCGATGGAGTCGCTCGGCCGCCTCTCCGAACGCGTCCGCTTCGCCACGAGGAGAGTGGACCTCGTGCGAGGTACGGGGCCTGGGTTCGCTGTGTCGGCACGGGAGGTGTGGGCGAGCGGCGTGCGCGGTACATAGCGTCAAAGTCAGCTCGCTCGCGTGCGAATCTGTGCGTGTGTTGAACTTGTTTCGCACCGTACGTAGCCAAGCGTGCTAATCGGAGGTTGTGTATTGTGTAGTAGTGTATCATAGTGTGGTGTATGTTTGAAATGGGTTCTCAATCTAGTATGTGTTGGTGGTGGTGGCGATTTTGGCTGTGGTGGTGGTTGCCTGCGTGAGTCTCTGGGTCTCTGCGTGAATCTGTGGGTCTCTGCGTGAGTCTGTGGGTCTCTGCGTGAGCCTGTGGGTCTCTGCGTGAGTCTGTGGGTCTCTATGTGAGTCTGTGGGTCTCTACGTGAGTCTGTGGGTCTCTGCTGCGTGAGTCTGTGGGTCTCTGCGTGAGTCTGTGGGTCTCTGCGTGAGTCTGTAGGTCCGTGCGTGAGTCTGTGGGTCTCTGCGTGAGTCTGTGGGTCTCTGTGAGTCTGTGGGTCTCTGCGTGAGTCTGTGGGTCTCTGCGTGAGTCTGTGGGTCTCTGTGAGTCTGTGGGTCTCTGCGTGGGTCTCTGCGTGAGTCTGTGGGTCTCTGCGTGAGTCTGTGGGTCTCTGTGTGAGTCTGTGGGTCTCTGCTGCGTGAGTCTGTGGGTCTCTGCGTTAGTCTGTAGGTCCGTGCGTGAGTCTGTGGGTCTCTGCGTGAGTCTGTGGGTCTCTGTGATTCTGTGGGTCTCTGCGTGGGTCTCTGCGTGAGTCTGTGGGTCTCTGCGTGAGTCTGTGAGTTTCTGCGTTAGTCTGTAGGTCCGTGCGTGAGTCTGTGGGTCTCTGCGTGAGTCTGTGGGTCTCTGCGTCAGTCTGTGGGCCTCTGTGTGAGTCTGTGGGTCTCTGTGTGAGTCTGTGCGTCTCCACCGAGTCTGTGGGTCTCTGCGTGAGTCTGTGAGTTTCTGCGTTAGTCTGTAGGTCCGTGCGTGAGTCTGTGGGTCTCTGCGTGAGTCTGTGGGTCTCTGCGTCAGTCTGTGGGCCTCTGTGTGAGCCTGTGGGTCTCTGCGTGAGTCTGTGGGTCTCTGCTGCGTGAGTCTGTGGGTCTCTGTGTGGGTCTCTGCGTGAGTCTGTGGGTCTCTACGTGAGTCTGTGGGTCTCTGCGTGAGTCTGTGGCCCTTTGCGTGACAACGGTGCGGTGCCATTCAGTGGTGCACTGTGTGGTGTGCAGGGCTGGTGCTGAGGAGGGATGCCCTGCACCGTCTCGCCCTGCAGGAGCAGCCCACCATCGCTCCCAGCCCCGACGTCCCCGCCAGGCACGACGTCACTTCCTGTTCTTCGCCCTGTGTGCTGCCATTTGTTGGTAGCGGTGTTGTGGTCGCATTGTAATCGTGATGTAGATGATGATGTAGATGCCTCGATGATGTGAGATGCTGCGATGTGGGGATGACGATGATCATGGTGATCTTCTTGGATCTTTCGGTAAAGTCACGTAGAAGGGAAATAATAAAAATAAAACATAAAATAATTCTCACGACGTTTCGGCTACAACGCAAGCAGCCGTTGTAGCCGAAACGCTGTGAGAATTGTATTATTTTATTATGTTTTATCTTTATTATTTAATTATTTCCCTTCTACGTGACTTTACCGAAAGAACCAAGAAGATGAATCCCTGCAGTCACGAAAGCTTTAAATCGAGATCATGGTGATGTTGAAATATTGTAATTCTGTGGTGGTGGCGGTGATGCTAATAATGATGATATCTTGGTGATTTTGTAATCATGATGATGACTGGCGATGAAGATGTTGCTACGGCGATGGTGATGGTGTGGTAATGTGCTCCATGTTGAAGATGACAATGTGGACATAACGATGTAGGCCATGTAGTGAACTTGTCGTTACTTTGCAATGATGATGGTGTGGTGGTGACGGCGGTGATGATGACAACGACGACGATGTTGACGATGATGACGATGATGTGGTGATGTTTTGCAGGCCGGATCTGCAGGCTGAGCTGAGCCATCTCCAAGCGGAGAGAGACCTCCTCTCGTCACAGATGCAGAAGGATGCCCTCCTCATGCAAGAGAAAATCTCACTCGCCACACACAGGGGTAGGGACACGGGGACAGAGACACACGGGGAGAGAGACACACGGCGAGAGAGACACACGGGGAGAGAGACACACGGCGAGAGAGACACACGGGGAGAGAGACACACGGGGAGAGAGACGCACGGGGAGAGAGACGCACGGCGAGAGAGACACACGGCGAGAGAGACACACGGCGAGAGAGACACACGGGGAGAGAGACGCACGGAGAGAGAGACGCACGGAGAGAGAGACACACGGGGAGAGAGACACACGGAGAGAGAGACACACGGCGAGAGACACACGGGGAGAAAGACACACGGGGAGAGAGACGCACGGCGAGAGAGACACACGGGGAGAGAGACACACGGGGAGAGAGACGCACGGGGAGAGAGACACACGGGGAGAGAGACACACGGGGAGAGAGACACACGGGGAGAGAGACGCACGGGGAGAGAGACGCACGGCGAGAGAGACACACGGCGAGAGACACACGGGGAGAGAGACGCACGGGGAGAGAGACGCACGGCGAGAGAGACACACGGGGAGAGAGACACACGGCGAGAGAGACACACGGCGAGAGAGACACACGGCGAGAGAGACACACGGCGAGAGAGACACACGGCGAGAGAGACACACGGGGACAGAGACACACGGCGAGAGAGACACACGGCGAGAGAGACATGGCGAGAGAGACACACGGCGAGAGAGACACACGGCGAGAGAGACACACGGGGTAGGGACACGGGGACAGAGACACACGGGGAGAGAGACACACGGGGAGAGAGACACACGGGGAGAGAGACACACGGGGAGAGAGACACACGGGGTAGGGACACGGGGACAGAGACACACGGGGACAGAGACGCACGGGGAGAGAGACGCACGGGGAGAGAGACGCACGGCGAGAGAGACACACGGCGAGAGAGACATGGCGAGAGAGACACACGGCGAGAGAGACACACGGCGAGAGAGACACACGGGGTAGGGACACGGGGACAAAGACACACGGGGAGAGAGACACACGGGGAGAGAGACACACGGGGAGAGAGACACACGGGGAGAGAGACACACGGGGAGAGAGACACACGGGGAGAGAGACACACGGCGAGAGAGACACACGGGGAGAGAGACACACGGCGAGAGAGACACACGGGGTAGGGACATGGGGAGAGAGACACACGGGGAGAGAGACATACGGGGAGAGAGACACACGGGGAGAGAGACACGGGGTAGGGACATGGGGAGAGAGACACACGGGGAGAGAGACACACGGGGAGAGAGACACACGGGGAGAGAGACATGCAGGGTAGGGACATGGAAACAGAGACACACGGGGAGAGAGACACACGGGGAGAGAGACATGCAGGGTAGGGACATGGAGACAGAGACACACGGCGAGAGAGACACACGGGGAGAGAGACACACGGGGAGAGAGACATGCAGGGTAGGGACATGGAGACAGAGACACACGGGGAGAGAGACACGGCGAGAGAGACACAGGGTAGGGACATGGAGACAGAGACACACGGGGTCTCTCTCCCCTATGTCCCTGATGATGATGATGCTGATGACGACGATGACGATGCTGATGACTATCTTGACGATGACGATGTTGATGATAATGATGCTGATGTTGATGATGTTGATAACGATGTTGATGATGTTGACGATGACGATCTTGACGTTGACTATGATGATGATGTTGATGATGATGTTGATGATGATGATGATGATGTTGATGATGATGTTGAAGTTGATGATGTTGATGACGATGTTGACGACGACGATGATGTCCACGTCCCAGCGGAGGAGGCCTGTGCGGAGCAGCTCCGGCACCTGCGGTCTCTGGCCGAGGAGCGCGGCGCGCTGCACGAGGAGACCCAGGCTCGCCTGCAGCAGGCGCAGCACGAGCTGCAGCAGGCGCAGCACGAGCTGGAAGCCGCCCGCACCCAGCAGCAGCAGCAGCTGGAGCAGCTGCAGCAGCTGCAGCAGGAGCTGCAGCAGGAGCACGGAGCGAAGGATCAGGGTGCCCAACACACGCAGACGAACAATAACAGGCCTCGTCGTCGCTACCATCGCTACCATCATCATCATTGCTATCATCATCGCGATCATCGCTACCATCATCATCATCGCTATCATCATCATCATTGCTATCATCATCATCGGTATCATTGCTACCATCATCATCATTGCTATCATCATCACCGCTACCACCATCATCATCACCGCCACCACCATCATCATCACCGCCACCATCATCATCGCGATCATCATTATCGCTACCATCATCATCACCATCATCATCTCCACCATCATCACCATCATCATCTCCACCACCATCATCACCATCATCATCTCCACCATCATCATCGTCATCATCATCGTCATTATCGTCATCATCATCGTCATCATCATCACCATCATCACCATCATCACTGCCACCATCATCATCACCGCCACCATCATCATAACCGCTACCATCATCATCACCGCTACCATCATCATCACCACTACCATCAACATCGCTATCAACATCATCATCGCTACCAGTGTAGTTGTTGTGATGGTGGTGGTGGTGGTGGTGGTAGTGGTGTCGGTATTGGTTGCTATATGATGAGTTGTGGGTGAGTGTAGTTGTTGTTGTTGTGATGGTGGTGGTGGTGGTTGTAGCGGTGCGAGCCGTCGAACGGGACCTCCGCGCTCGCTACGCGGATCAGCTCTCCGGCTTGGAGCAGAGTCTGAACCAGGCACGCAGGGAGCACGGCAAAGCTGGTACGCACACACCACTCGCTCGCTCACTCACTCAGTCTGAACCAGGCACGCAGGGAGCACGGCAAAGCTGGTACGCACACACCACTCGCTCGCTCACTCACTCAGTCTGAACCAGGCACGCAGGGAGCACGGCAAAGCTGGTACGCACACACCACTCGCTCGCTCACTCACTCAGTCTGAACCAGGCACGCAGGGAGCACGGCAAAGCTGGTACGCACACACCACTCGCTCGCTCACTCACTCAGTCTGAACCAGGCACGCAGGGAGCACGGCAAAGCTGGTACGCACACACCACTCGCTCGCTCACTCACTCAGTCTGAACCAGGCACGCAGGGAGCACGGCAAAGCTGGTACGCACACACCACTCGCTCGCTCACTCACTCAGTCTGAACCAGGCACGCAGGGAGCACGGCAAAGCTGGTACGCACACACCACTCGCTCGCTCACTCACTCAGTCTGAACCAGGCACGCAGGGAGCACGGCAAAGCTGGTACGCACACACCACTCGCTCGCTCACTCACTCAGTCTGAACCAGGCACGCAGGGAGCACGGCAAAGCTGGTACGCACACACCACTCGCTCGCTCACTCACTCAGTCTGAACCAGGCACGCAGGGAGCACGGCAAAGCTGGTACGCACACACCACTCACTCGCTCACTCACTCAGTCTGAACCAGGCACGCAGGGAGCACGGCAAAGCTGGTACGCACACACCACTCGCTCGCTCACTCACTCAGTCTGAACCAGGCACGCAGGGAGCACGGCAAAGCTGGTACGCACACACCACTCGCTCGCTCACTCACTCAGTCTGAACCAGGCACGCAGGGAGCACGGCAAAGCTGGTACGCACACACCACTCGCTCGCTCACTCACTCAGTCTGAACCAGGCACGCAGGGAGCACGGCAAAGCTGGTACGCACACACCACTCACTCGCTCACTCACTCAGTCTGAACCAGGCACGCAGGGAGCACGGCAAAGCTGGTACGCACACACCACTCGCTCGCTCACTCACTCAGTCTGAACCAGGCACGCAGGGAGCACGGCAAAGCTGGTACGCACACACCACTCGCTCGCTCACTCACTCAGTCTGAACCAGGCACGCAGGGAGCACGGCAAAGCTGGTACGCACACACCACTCGCTCGCTCACTCACTCACTCACCTACTCACTCGCTCGCTCACTTACTGACTCGCTCACTCACTCACTCACCTACTGACTCACTCACTCAGTCTGAACCAGGCACGCAGGGAGCACGGCAAAGCTGGTACGCACACACCACTCGCTCGCTCACTCACTCACACACCACTCACTCACTCACACACCACTCACTCGCTCACTTACTCACCTACTCACCTACTCACTCACACACCACTCACTCACTCACACACCACTTGCTCACTCGCTCACTCACTCACACACCACTCACTCGCTCACTCGCTCACCTACTCACTCGCTCACTCACACACCACTCACTCACTCAGTCTGAACCGGGCACGCAGGGAGCACGGCAAAGCTGGTACGCACACACCACTCACTCGCTCACTCGCTCACTCACTCACACACCACTCACTCACTCACACACCACTCACTCACTCGCTCACTTACTCACCTACTCACCTACTCACTCACACACCACTCACTCACTCACACACCACTCGCTCACTCACTCACTCACTCACACACCACTCACTCGCTCACTCACTCACCTACTCACTCGCTCACTCACACACCACTCACTCACTCAGTCTGAACCAGGCACGCAGGGAGCACGGCAAAGCTGGTACGCACACACCACTCACTCGCTCACTCGCTCACTCACTCACACACCACTCACTCGCTCACTCGCTCACCTACTCACTCGCTCACTCACTCACACACCACTCACTCACTCACCTACTCACTCACTCACCTACTGACTCGCTCACCTGCTCACTCGCTCACTCATTCGCTCACCACCCCACTCACTCACTCACACACCACTCACTCACACACCACTCACTCACTCACTCACACCCCACTCACTCACTCACACACCACTCACTCACACACCACTCACTCACTCACACCCCACTCACTCACACACCACTCACTCACACACCACTCACTCCCTCACTCACTCACCTACTCACCTACTCACCTACTCACTCGCTCACTCAGTCTGAACCAGGCACGCAGGGAGCATGGCAAGGCTGGTACGCACACACCACTCACTCGCTCACTTACTGACTCGCTCACTCACTCACCTACTCACCTACTCACTCGCTCACTCACTCACACACCACTCACTCACTCGCTCACCTACTCACTCGCTCACTCACTCACTCACACACCACTCACTCGCTCACTCATTCACCTACTCACTCGCTCACCTACTCACTCGCTCACTTACTGACTCGCTCACTCACTCACCTACTCACCTACTCACTCGCTCACTCACTCACACACCACTCACTCACTCACTCGCTCACCTACTCACTCACTCACCTACTCACTCACTCACCTACTGACTCGCTCACTCACTCACACACCACTCACTCACTCGCTCACCTACTCACTCGCTCACTCACTCACACACCACTCACTCGCTCACTCACTCACCTACTCACTCGCTCACCTACTGACTCGCTCACTTAGTCTGAACCAAGCACGCAGGGAGCACGGCAAGGCTGGTACGCACACACCACTCACTCGCTCACTTACTGACTCGCTCGCTCGCTCACCTACTCACCTACTCACTCGCTCACCTACTCACCTACTCACTCGCTCACTCACTCACTCAGTCTGAACCAAGCATGCAGGGAGCACGGCAAGGCTGGTACGCACACACCACTCACTCACTCACTCACACACCACTCATTCGCTCACTCACACACCTGCTCACTCGCTCACTCACTCACTCGCTCGCTCACTCACTCGCTCACTCACTCAGTCTGAACCAAGCATGCAGGGAGCACGGCAAGGCTGGTACGCACACACCACTCACTCGCTCACTCACTCACTCACACACCACTCATTCGCTCACTCACACCTGCTCACTCGCTCACTCACTCACTCGCTCGCTCACTCGCTCGCTCACTCACTCAGTCTGAACCAGGCACGCAGGGAGCACGGCAAGGCTGGTACGCACATACCACTCACTCGCTCACTCACTCACTCACACACCACTCATTCGCTCACTCACACCTGCTCACTCGCTCACTCACTCACTCGCTCGCTCACTCGCTCGCTCACTCACTCAGTCTGAACCAGGCACGCAGGGAGCACGGCAAGGCTGGTACGCACACACCACTCGCTCACTCGCTCACTTACTGACTCGCTCACTCACTCACCTACTCACCTACTCACTCACTCACCACTCACTCACACACCACTCACTCACTCGCTCACTCACACACCTGCTCACTCGCTCACTCACTCACTCGCTCGCTCACTCACTCAGTCTGAACCAGGCACGCAGGGAGCACGGGTCGCCTGCTGCAACACGCTAACACCACTTGCCCCAACACCTGATGACCTGATGACGGAGACTTGTGTTGCCTCCGAAACGTCGTGATTTTTTATTTTTTATTAATTTCAATTTCATTTTTTACCTACGTGACTTTTACCGAAAAAACTCAGTAGTATAAAAATTTCCCTTATATTATTTTGTATCGACTCTGTGTTTCTACTCGCCGCAGTGGTGGCGCTGCGCCAGGGTGAGCGCGAGTGGAGCCGGGAGAGGGAGCGAGCCAGGGAGCTGACTCAGACTCGCGACAGGCATCACCACGAGCAGCTGCAGCAGCTGCAGAGCCACCTGCAGCAGCTGCAGGCGGACGGTAGCCTCATGAAGGTGCACTCACTCGCTCGATCACTCACTCACTCACTCGCCCAACCACTCACTCAGCCACTCACCCATCCACCCACTCACTCACCCAACCACTCACACAACCACTCAGCCTCTCACCCACTGACTCACTTACCCACTCACTCACTCACCCAATCACTCACCCACTCACTCACTCACTCACTCACCCACCCACCCACTCACTCACCCACCGAGCTGGCTCAGACCCGCGACAGGCATCACCACGAGCAGCTGCAGCAGCTGCAGAGCCACCTGCAGCAGCTGCAGGCGGACGGTAGCCTCATGAAGGTGCACTCACTCGCTCGATCACTCACTCACTCACTCGCCCAACCACTCACTCAGCCACTCACCCATCCACCCACTCACTCACCCAACCACTCACACAACCACTCAGCCACTCACCCACTGACTCACTTACCCACTCACTTACTCACCCAATCACTCACCCACTCACTCACTCACTCACCCACCCACCCACTCACTCACCCACCGAGCTGGCTCAGACCCGCGACAGGCATCACCACTTGCAGCTGCAGCAACTGCAGAGCCACCTGCAGCAGCTGCAAGCGGACGGTAGCCTCATGAAGGTGCGCTCACTCGCTCGCTCGATCACTCACTCACTCGCCCAACCACTCGCCCAGCCACTCAGCCAACCACTGACTCACTCACCCACTCATCCACCCACCCACTCACTCACCCACTCACTCACCCACTCACCCAACCATTCAGCCACTCACCCACCCATCCACCCACTCACTCACCCATCCACCCACTCACTCACTCACTCACCCAACCACTCACACAACCACTCAGCCACTCATCCACTCACCCACTGACTCACTCACCCACTCACCCACCCACTCACTCACTCACCCACCCACCCACTCACCACCCAACCACTCAACCAACCATTCAGCCACTCACCCACCCATCCACTCACTCACCCATCCACCCACTCACTCACCCAACCACTCAGTCCACTCACTCACCCACCCATCCACCCACTCACTCACCCATCCACCCACTCACTCACCCAACCACTCACACAACCACTCAGCCACCTCACCCACCTGACTCACTCACCCACTCACCCACCCACTCACTCACCCACTCACTCACCCACTCACTCACCCACTCACTCACTCACTCACCCACCCACCCAACCACTCATTCACTTACTCAACCACTCACTCACCTATCCACTCACCCACCCACCGACTCACTCACCCACTCACTCATTCACCCACCACCCACTCACTCAGCCACTCAACCACTCACTCACCCACCCACTCACTCACCCACTCAACCACTCACTCACTCACCCACTCACTCACCCACTCACCCATCCACCCACTCACTCACTCACTCACCCATCCACCCACTCACCCACTCACTCAACTCACTCACTCGCCCACTCACTCAACCCTCTCTCTCACTCACCCACTCACCCACTCACTCACCCACTCAACCACTCACTCACTCACCCATCCACCCATTCACCCACTCACTCAACCCACTCACTCACCAACCCACTCACCCACTCACTCACTCGCCCACTCACCCACTCACTCAACCCACTCACTCACCAACCCACTCACCCACCCACTCACTCGCCCACTCACTCAACCCTCTCACTCACCCACTCACCCACTGACCCACCCGCACGCTCTGACGGTATCAGTACCCCATTTACGGCTGAAACAAAGGTGGCCGGGAGGGGTGGGGGGTGGTGGTGGTGGTGGTGGTGTTGGTGGTGGTGTTGGTGGTGGTGTTGGTGGTGGTGTTGGTGGTGCATGTTGGTGCCAGCCACCCACCCTCCACGTGCGCCGTGTCGGCCTTCACAGAGCGCCTGCTGCAACACGCTCACACCACTTGCCCCAACAGTCTATTGAAGGCTACACGGGGGGGGTGGGGGCCTTTGCCTGTGCGGACGTACGCAGGCGACGCTGAGGCAGGAGGGGCTGTTGCAGCAGTACAAGGCGAGGAGAGTCGGAGGGCAGCAGCTGGAGAAAGGGCAGCGTCACACAGGTGGGCAGTGGAAGCCTAGCACAGGCCACAACAACTCACCCACTCGCCCGCGCACTCACTCACCAACTCGCTCACCCCCTAACCCACTCGCCCACGCACTCACTCACTCACCCTCTCACTCACCCACTCACTCACCCAGTCATTCATCTACTCACTCACCCACTCACTCACCCAGTCACTCACCCTCTCACTCACCCACTCACTCACCCACTAACCCACTCACTCACCAACTCACTCACCCGCTAACCCACTCGCCCACGCACTCACTCACCCTCTCACTCACCCACTCACTCACCCGCTAACCCACTCACTCACCCGCTAACCCACTCGCCCACGCACTCACTCACCCTCTCACTCACCCACTCACTCGCTCGCTAACCCACTCACTCACCCACTCGCCCGCTCGCTAACCCACTCGCCCACGCACTCACTCACCCTCTCACTCACTCTCTCACTCACCAACTCACTCACCCGCTAACCCACTCACTCACCAACTCACTCACCCGCTAACCCACTCGCCCGCTCACTCACTCAATCACTCGCACTCTTATTACTCATGCGCTCACTGAGCTACCCACCCACCCACTCACCCTCTCACTCACCCACTCACTCACCCACTCACTCACCCACTCACTCACCATACGGTGTGTGTACTGTGTGTATACTGTGTGTATTCTGTGTACACTGTGTGTGTGTATATATACTGTGTGTATTGTTTGTGTGTATACTGTGTATGTACCGTATATACTGTGTGTGTGTGTACTGTGTGTGTACTGTGTGTGTGTGTGTGTGTACGTACTGTGTGTGTACTGTGTGCGTATATATAGTGTGTGTACTGTGTGTGTACTGTGTGTGTACGTACCATGTGTGTGCTGTGTGTGTGCCGTGTGTGTTACTGTGTGTACGTACTGTGTGTGTGCCGTGTGTGTGCTGTGTGTGTACTGTGTGTGTACTGTGTGTACGTACCATGTGTGTGCTGTGTGTGTACTGTGTGTGTACTCTGTGTGTACGTACCGTGTGTGTGCTGTGTGTGTGCTGTGTGTACTGTGTGTGTACTGTGTGTGTACGTACCGTGTGTGTGCTGTGTGTACTGTGTGTGTACTGTGTGTGTACGTGCCGTTGTGTACTGTGTGTGTACTGTGTGTGTACGTACTGTGTGTGTACTGTGTACGTACTGTGTGTGTACTGTGTGTGTGCTGTGTGTGTGTGCTGTATATATACTGTGTGTGTACGTACTGTGTGTGTACTGTGTACGTACTGTGTGTACTGTGTATGTACTGTGTGTGTGTACTGTGTGAGTGCTGTATATATACTGTGTACGTACTGTGTGTGTACTGTGTGTGTGCTGTGTGTGTGTGCTGTATATATACTGTGTGTGTACGTACTGTGTGTGTACTGTGTACGTACTGTGTGTACTGTGTATGTACTGTGTGTGTGTACTATGTGTGTGCTGTATATATACTGTGTGTGTACTGTGTACGTACTGTGTGTGTGCTGTGTGTGTACGTACCGTGTATACTGAATATATACTGTGTGTGTGCTGTGTGTGTACTGTGTGTGTACTGTGTGTGTACTGTGTGTACTGTGTATTTACTGTGTGTGTACGTACTGTGTGTGTACTGTGTGTACGTACTGTGTGTGTACTGTGTGTACGTACTGTGTGTGTACTGTGTGTGTGTCCTGTGTGTGTGCTGTAGGGTCTCTGAGCTCCGTGCTGAAGGATCTGAGAGCGTTGAGTGTGGAAGTTCTCACAGAAGACGCAGAGGAGGGAGGGAGACCCGATGGTTGAATAACTCAAAACACGTCCACACGTGTGTACGTACACACGTGTACCCGTGTGTACGTACACACGGGTACACGTGTGACTTTACACACGGGTACACGTGTGTACGTACACACCAGCCGGCGTTCGCCACCGAGTGCCGCTGACGTCACCACGGCACCTGCGCCAGGCTAGGTGCACTTTGAGGCTATCACGTGACGTGCCGAATGCCCGCTGGCAGGAGGTCACGGGACAGACCCAGCAGAGGCGCCGTGGGTTGACTGACTGAGATGACCGGTAGATGCAACCACCATCTGTGCCAAAGTTACACACAAAGACAAAGAGTTACACGCGCACGCACACAAATGCATACACGTGGACACATACACACATGTACACAGACAAATACACAGTATTCAAACACAAAGATCAAACAGAGATCCCCCGTGTAGCCTTAACAGACTGTAGGGGCAAGTGCTGTTAGCGAGCACCTATGAAGGCCGGAACGGCACACTGAGGGGGTGGGTGGCCAGCACCACGCCCGACCGCCTTTGTCTCCCCAGTGGCGATGTTTACACACCGCACCAGGTACTCATTTAAGGCCGAGTCGACCTAGGGGAGGCCCGGGACCGGTTCAGATAATCGTCACTGGTGTTAGCCGTGAGCGGGAATCGAACCCGGGTCGCCAGGTTCATAGCGCAGCAGTAGCGCTAACCGCTATACTACCGCTACACTACCGCTCCCCCTTAAACACGCACACATGTACACATTCACAAACCATGCACAAGCCTTAGACAGCTTAACAAAGATCTTCCATAGCGCCTTTCACAGACTGTTGGTGCAATTGCTGTTAGCAAGCAGCACCTATGAAGACTGGCACTGTGGCACACGAGCCCAGTGCCGATGTTTTATACTTGTACCCAGCACTGATTTAAGGCCGAGTCGACCCAGAGGAAGCCCAGGACCAGTTAGAATATTCACCGTCATCGGTTGTGAACGGGAATCGAACTCGGGTCGCCGGGTTTGTGGCGCAGCGCGCTAACCACTGCGCCACCGCTCGCCCGCATGGACACGCATATACACACGTACACACGCATCACGCGCGCGCACACACACAGGCACGCAGATTAACCTCAGTTACTCAGAATGCTTGGGCAGTTTGACACGGAGCGGGCTTTCGCGACCAATATTTCCCATAATAGACGTTTTCCTTGGGCCAGATCACGTAAATGTGTCGTCAAACTCACGGCCAATCGGTGAGGGAGTTTGTCACGTGACCAATTCGTTACTATCTTTTTGGTTCTTTCGGTAAAGTCACGTAGAAGGGAAATAATAAAATAATAAAAATAAAACATAATGAAATAATTCTCACGACGTTTCGGCCACAACGCAAGCAGCCGTCCTCAGGTGAAGAACAGGTCTGTCGGGGAGACAGCGTCTGAAACTTCAGGTCTGTCGGAAAGACAGCGTCTGAAACTTCAGGTCTGTCGGAAAGACAGGCGTCTGAAACTTCAGACGCTGTCTTTCCGACAGACCTGTTCTTCACCTGAGGACGGCTGCTTGCGTTGTGGCCGAAACGTCGTGAGAATTGTATTTTATTATGTTTCATTTTATTATTTTATTATTTCCCTTCTACGTGACTTTACCGAAAGAACCAAGAAGATGAATGTCTCAGTCACGAAAGCTTTAAATCGAAATTTAATTAGTTACTAGTTCAGTGTTTGAGAGTGAAGCCCACAACAATATTGGCGATTCGAGTAGCTGTGACATTTTTGACGCCACCCCCCCCTCTCGTCACACGGCGTCACAAAAAGTCAGACCCCCCCCCTCCTCAAATATGATGTCACAAAGCTCTGCCCCCCCCCCCAAAACCATATTCCCATTTTGAAAATGAAACATGCTTCAAATCGCTTTAAACTGTTGTCATTCCGGTGCGTTCTAGATTTGAAGCTTTCGTGACTGCAAGGATTCATATTCTTAGGTTTTTTCGGTAAAGTCACGTAGGTGAGAAATGTAAAATTAATAAAAGTGAAATCAATTATTATTTGTGAATTATCAGTGAAATAAATTATTCTTTTATATTTATCTCACTTTTATTAATTTTATTTTGTCACCTACGTGACTTTACCGAAAAAACCTAAGAATATGATTCCAGTGCGTATTTAATGTGGCGCTGCACTTTGGCAGCAATCATCAGGTGACAGCCACAGATTTGTGGAGAAATCCTCGCTCCTGTTTCGTTCTGAGATGGACGGAGGGATACATGTGGCGCCGTGACTTGTGTGGCAATCAGGTGCGAAGATCATGTGGGGGGGGGTTAATGTTTTCATGTAAATGACAACGGATATCCATTACCGGTTGGGTTATCCATCGGGCTGAATTGGTCACGGATGGAGCAACGTTTTGCGTTTTCGTGACACAAACTCAACAAATTGGCTGTGTCGTGGCGGCGGCGGTGGCGGGTATAACGACACAACATTGATATTTAGGCGATCTGACCCGACAAAAACGAAACCTCTATTATGGAAAGGGTTTGGCTTTTGTACTTGAACATTTTTTCTTCTTGTTGTTCAACAATGTCCCCGGGGCCTTCGTGACGGTACATTTGCGTCGACCGACGCCCCAAAACCCTCCCTGACGGTTCAACCCTCGCAAGTAATTTTTGCCAAAATTTTGTTTTTAAAACCCTTTCCACGTACGAGTAATAAAGTTGTGATCGCTGCGAACGTGTGTGTACCCCCCCCCCCCCCGCGCGTGAGACTTTGGCTCGCGGTATATTCAACTGCTGGATGGGGAGCAAAGGTCGCAACCGGGTACCCGATACCTGTACCCTACGGGTACCCGTTTGCGACCCTGGTGCGGCCGGGTACGGGTACGGGTAGGCCGTGAGTCACTGGTGAGTCACCGTTTGTCACTCATTTCCCAACGTCTTGTGTCTCTTCTTACAATTCAAGTTCCTAGAATCAACCCACCCGCGCCTGCAACATGGCTTCATCCCAGAGGTCGCAACCGGGTACCCGATACCCGTACCCTACCCGTACCCGGCTACCCATACCCGGCCGGGTACGGGTAGCCGTTTGCGACCCTGGTGCGGCCGGGTACAGGTACGGGTAAGGAATCAAAACCCGTTTGCGACCTCTACTGGGTGGGAGGGGAGGGGCTGGGTGGGGAGGGTGGTGGATGGAGGGGTGGGGCTGGGTGGGGAGGGTGGGGCTGGGTGGTGGGTGGGAGGGGTGGGGAGGGTGGGGCTGGGTGGGGAGGGTGGTGGTGGGTGGGAGGGGCTGGGTGGGGCTGGGTGGTGGGGGAGGGGTGGGGCTGGGTGGGGAGGGTGGGGCTGGGTGGTGGGTGGGGAGGGGTGGGGCTGGGTGGTGGGTGGGTGGGAGGGGCTGGGTGGGGAGGGTGGGGCTGGGTGGTGGGTGGGAGGGGTGGGGCTGGGTGGTGGGGTGGGAGGGCTGGGTGGTGGGTGGGAGGGGTGGGTGGGAGGGGAGGGGCTGGGTGGGGAGGGTGGTGGGTGGGAGGGGTGGGGAGGGTGGGGCTGGGTGGTGGGTGGGAGGGGTGGGGCTGGGTGGGGAGGGTGGGGCTGGGTGGTGGGTGGGAGGGGTGGGGCTGGGTGGGGAGGGTGGGGCTGGGTGGGGAGGGTGGGGCTGGGTGGTGGGTGGGAGGGGGAGGGTGGGGCTGGGTGGTGGGTGGGAGGGGTGGGGCTGGGAGGGGAGGGGCTGGTCACCCCGTGGTGCCCTTATAAAACTCAACGTTTAACCTACTCACGCCGGCTTGTGCCCGCCCTCACAGTCGGCCATATTTGCGGAATACACCACGCCGCCGTTGACCCTGCAGGCCATTGACCGAGCAACCCAACGTTCCTACCAGCTACCTCCGCAGCAGGACAAGGTGTTTTTGTTTGTTCCTGGGTACTAAGTGTTATTTTCCAATTGTTTATGCCTCTAAAGTACAGAAAATGGCTCTTATTCCCCACAAACGTATACGCTACACGGATTTCACGACACAAACACCTCCACTGTGGATCATATTCTGATCAGCACCGCAATCGATTAATCGGTTTTACTTTTAAATCGCCAATTGCCCCGAATCAATTACGACGGATCGATGCCTTATAAACAAGTGACCCCGTCGATTCCTACCCACAACGACAGAATTAGGAATCGATCCACGCGCGTTTGGAATCGATGAACCCGACGAATCCGTCGCCCGAGAGAAACGATTCGATTATTTTTTGTAAAACTCGGAACCTCCTTTCGCTTAGGAATCGATTCGAGTCGACTGCGGCGCTTTATCAAGTCGGCGAATCGATCCCCGTTCGGAGGCGTCGCGCGGAATCGATTTGCCACTCGCGAAACTAAACGTGCGAATCGGATCGATTCCGAAGTTTGGGCACCTCTCGTTACCCGTAGTTTCATCATCCTTGGGTGGTCGGTGTTGGAAGCGTGGCTCCGCGTTTTTTTAATAAAATTGTAACATTTTGACAACGTTTACGTTTAGATTTGTTTATTTTATTTTAAAAGTTAAATCCAAACAATCGACAGAGTGACAAAGGCGGACCCCATTCATTCATTCACGACGACGGCGGCGAAATCGGTGACGACTTTGCTGCCTTGAAAGCCGGTGAGAGAATCAGCCCCACCACCTCATTCATAGAGACACACAGAGACTCACAGAGACTCAGAGAGACACACAGAGACTTGTAGAGACCCACAGACCCATAGAGACCCACAGATACTCATAGAGACCCACAGAGACACACAGACTCGTAGACACATAGAGACACACAGAGACTCACAGAGACACACAGATACTCGTAGAGACACACAGAGACTCGTAGAGACACACAGAGACTCATAGAGACACACAGAGACCCACAGAGACACACAGAGACTCGTAGACACACAGAGACTCGTAGACACACACAGAGACTCGTAGACACACACAGAGACCCATGTAGACACAGAGACTCGTAGACACAGACTCACAGAGACTCGTAGAGACCCACAGAGACTCATAGAGACCCAGGGACTCATAGAGACAGAGACCCACATAGACCCACATAGACCCATAGAGACCCACAGAGACCCATAGAGACCCATAGAGACACACAGAGACCCACAGAGACACACAGAGACCCGTAGAGACCCATAGAGACACACAGACCCACAGAGACCCATAGAGACCCATAGAGACCCATAGAGACACACAGAGACCCACAGAGACCCATAGAGACACACAGAGACCCACAGAGACACACAGAGACCCACAGAGACCCATAGAGACACACAGACCCACAGAGACCCACAGAGACCCATAGAGACCCACAGAGACCTACAGAGACCCACAGAGACTCGTAGAGACCCACAGACACACACAGACCCACAGAGACCCATAGAGACCCACAGAGACCCATAGAGACACAGAGACCCACAGAGACACACAGAGACCCACAGAGACTCGTAGAGACCCACAGAGACCCACAGAGACTCACAGAGACACACAGACCCACAGAGACCCATAGAGACCCACAGAGACCCATAGAGACACACAGAAACCCACAGAGACACACAGAGACACACAGAGACCTACAGAGACTCGTAGAGACCCACAGAGACCCGTAGAGACCCATAGAGACACACAGACCCACAGAGACCCATAGAGACCCATAGAGACCCACAGAGACCCACAGAGACCCATATAGACACACAGACCCACAGAGACCCATAGAGACCCACAGAGACCCATAGAGACCCACAGAGACCCGTAGAGACCCACAGAGACACACAGAGACTCAGAGACTCACAGAGACCCACAGAGACCCACAGATACCTACAGAGACTCATAGAGACCCACAGAGACACACAGACCCACAGAGACCCACAGAGACATACAGAGACCCACAGAGACTCGTAGAGACCCACAGAGACACACAGAGACCCATAGAGACCCACAGAGACCCATAGAGACCCACAGAGACCCGTAGAGACCCACAGAGACACACAGAGACTCAGAGACTCACAGAGACCCACAGAGACCCACAGATACCTACAGAGACTCATAGAGACCCACAGAGACACACAGACCCACAGAGACCCACAGAGACATACAGAGACCCACAGAGACTCGTAGAGACCCACAGAGACACACGGAGACTCGTAGAGACACACAGATACCCACATAGACCCATAGAGACACACAGAGACCCACAGAGACACACAGACCCACAGAGACCCACAGAGACCCACAGAGACCCATAGAGACCCACAGAGACCTACAGAGACCCACAGAGACTCGTAGAGACCCACAGACACACACAGACCCACAGAGACCCATAGAGACCCACAGAGACCCATAGAGACACAGAGACCCACAGAGACACACAGAGACCCACAGAGACTCGTAGAGACCCACAGAGACCCACAGAGACTCACAGAGACACACAGACCCACAGAGACCCATAGAGACCCACAGAGACCCATAGAGACACACAGAAACCCACAGAGACACACAGAGACCTACAGAGACTCGTAGAGACCCACAGAGACCCGTAGAGACCCATAGAGACACACAGACCCACAGAGACCCATAGAAACCCATAGAGACCCACAGAGACCCACAGAGACCCACAGAGACCCATATAGACACACAGACCCACAGAGACCCATAGAGACCCACAGAGACCCATAGAGACCCACAGAGACCCGTAGAGACCCACAGAGACACACAGAGACTCAGAGACTCACAGAGACCCACAGAGACCCACAGATACCTACAGAGACTCATAGAGACCCACAGAGACACACAGACCCACAGAGACCCACAGAGACATACAGAGACCCACAGAGACTCGTAGAGACCCACAGAGACACACGGAGACTCGTAGAGACACACAGATACCCACATAGACCCATAGAGACACACAGAGACCCACAGAGACACAGACCAACAGAGACCCACAGAGACCCACAGAGACCCAGTGACTCGTATAGACCCATAGAGACCCACAGAGACCCAGTGACTCACAGAGACCCAAGTACTCATAGAGAACCACAGAGACCCAGGGACTCATAGAGAACCCACAGATACCCACAGAGACCCAGTGACTCATAGACCCATAGAGACCCACAGAGACGCACAGAGACTCAGAGACCCACAGAGACCCACAGAGACTCATAGAGACCCACAGACCCACAGAGACCCACAGAGACTCGTAGAGACACACAGAGACTCGTAGAGACACACAGATACCCACAGAGACCCAGTGACTCGTATAGACCCATAGAGACCCACAGAGAACCAGTGACTCACAGAGACCCAAGTACTCATAGAGAACCACAGAGACCCAGGGACTCATAGAGAACCACAGAGACCCAGGGACTCATAGAGAACCACAGAGACCCAGGGACTCATAGAGACCCATCGATAAGAATCGCCGCCATACTTCTACCAAATCACTGCAAATCTCGAGGTAGTCAACATCTCCTAGCCACCGTGATGATGATGAGAGAGAAAGACACGCAGACTCCAAATATACAGCAGCAGGCATCAGGGTCGGGATGTGTGTCACTTGCGGGATGGTGGTGATGTCGATGGTGGATGGTAGATGATGTTGATGATGGTGGTGATGGTGGATGATGTTGATGGTTGATGATGTTGATGGTGGTGGTGGTGATGTTGATGATGTTGATGATGGTGGTGATGATGGTGCAGGTGATGATGTTGATGATATTGGTGATGGTGGTGGTGATGGTGGTGCAGGTGATGTCGTCCCTGACGCTGTACGCGCACACCGGTGGTGATGGGGGAGATGTCGATGGTGGTGATGGTGGTGATGGTGGATGATGTTGATGGTGGTGATGGTGGTGATGTTGATGATGTTGATGATGATGATGTTGGTGATGGTGGTGGCGATGATGGTGGTGCAGGTGATGTCGTCCCTGACGCTGTACGCGCACACCGGTGGTGATGGGGAAGATGTCGATGGTGGTGATGGTGGTGATGGTGGATGATGTTGATGGTGGTGATGGTGGATGATGTTGATGGTTGATGATGATGATGTTGGTGGCGATGATGGTGGTGCAGGTGATGTCGTCCCTGACGCTGTACGCGCACACCGGTGGTGATGGGGGAGATGTGGATGTCATCACCGCCCGCGTCCTCATCACCGCCCGCTTCTCCGGGGTCAACATCAACGTCACCACCGACTCCACGCGGATACCTCGGTCTCAACCACAACAACCACCACAACCACCACCACAACAACAACCACCACCACAACCACCACAATTACCACCACCGCAATCACCACTACTACCACCACCACCATCACAACAATCACCACCACGATCACCATCACAACCACCACTACTACCACCATCACAACCACCACCACAACCACCACAACCACCACCACAACCATCACCACAACCACCATCACAACCGCGACAACCACCACCACCACAACCACCATCACAACCACCACAACCACCACCACAACCACCATCACAATCACCACCGCAATCACCACCACAACCACCACCACAACCACCACTACTACCACCATCACAACCACCACCACAACCACCACAACTACCACCACCACAATCACCACCACAATCACCACCACAACCACCACAACCACCACCACAACCACCACCACAACCACCACAACCACCACAATTACCACCACCACAATCACCACCACAATCACCACTACTACCACCACCACCATCACAACAATCACCACCACGATCACCATCACAACCACCACTACTACCACCATCATCACAACCACCACCACAACCACCACTACTACCACCACAACCACCACAACCACCACCACAACCACAATAACCACCACAACCACCATCACAATCACCATCACAACCACCACCACAACCACCACCACAACCAACATCACAACCACCACCACAATCACCATCACAACCACTACCACAACCACCATCACAACCACCACCACAACCACCACCACAACCACCACCACAATCACCACCATAACCACCACCACAATCACCACCACAACCACCATCACAACCACCACCACAATCACCATCACAACCACTACCACAACCACCACCACAACCACAACCACCACCACAATCACCACCACAACCACCACCACAATCACCACCACAACCACCATCACAACCACCACCACAACCACCATCACAACCACCACAATCACCACCACAACCACCACCACAATCACCACCACAACCACCATCACAACCACCACCACAACCACCATCACAACCACCACAATCACCACCACAATCACCACCACAATCACTACCACAACCACCACTACAATCACCACCACAATCACTACCACAACCACCACTACAATCACCACCACAACCACCATCACAACCACCAGCACCACAATCACCATCACAACCACCACCACAACCACTACCACAACCACCATCACAACCACCACCACAACCACAACTGCTGAAGTAGGCCAAGTTGTTTTCTTGCTGTGGTTGTCCCACCTGGCGATGACGGTTGCTTTGTGTTGCGATCGAAACGTCGTGATCGGTTCGTTTTCTACCCACGTGACTTTACCGTAAGAACCAAAGAGTTTGTGGATTACAGTAATAGGTTTTTACCCTTTAAACTGGTACACAAACTGATACCTTTATACAAGGGATCATGTTTAGCAATAACCACAACACAAAAAAACATAACTCTGATAATGATATGCACTGTCCTTGAAGTTGATTGGTCCACACCCGAGACAGCTTTTCTTAGAGCCCTAGTCTCACATGGTGTTGGACCAGATGACGCCAAAAGGCGCACAACTCAGACAATGCACCATCAGAGTATGAGAGCTCGGGGTAAAGCATTTACACCATTGGAACCTCATTTGCCAGTAAAAAATATGATAGTTTTTTTTACCCTTCTATCTGGCAACAAAACTGACACTTTTTTTTACAAGGAGTCATGTTTGCATAGACCACAATACCTGCAGTCATTATGCAAACAAAAACACAACTCTGATAATATATGCACTGTCCTTGAAGCTGATTGGTCCACACCAGAGACAGCTTTCCTTAGAGCCCAGTCTCACATGGTGTTGGACCAGATGACGCCTTTTGCGCCTTTTGGCGTCATCTGGTCCAACACCATGTGAGACGAGGCTCTAAGGAAAGCTGTCTCGGGTGTGGACCAATCAACTTCAAGGACAGTGCATACATTATCAGAGTTATGTTTTTTGTTTGCATTATGACTGCAGGTATTGTGGTCTATGCAAACATGACTCCTCGTAAAAAAGGTGTGATAATATATGCACTGTCCTTGAAGTTGATTGGTACACACCCGAGACAGCTTTCCTTAGAGCCCAGTCTCACATGGTGTTGGACCAGATGACGCCAAAAGCCGCACAACTTTACCGAAAACACCAAAACACTATGGACCTCTGCTTTCTCTCCCTCCCTCCCCGCCCGCCCGCCCAGGGTTCTCTGGAAGTCCCTCCCGGTCCTGGAATCGAACTCGGGCTTCAAGCTCTCGGGCGCCCACGCCATCGCCTACTACCTGGCCAGGCTGGGGCCGGCACCAGGCCCGGATCGGTGGGCGGGGCTAGGCCAGGGGGAGGAGCAAGAGGCCAGCGTCCTCCAATGGGTGGCCCTGGCCGAGGGCACGTTGCTCCCGGCAACCGTCGCCGCGTGCTACCCCTCCGTCGCCGGGGGCGACCAGCGCAAGGTGAGCTCCCTGGACCGGCGGTTGCCGTGGTGACGCGCCGTTTGAGACGAGAAAATTGTTGGACCAATCGGTTTCGAAGACAATGCACGTGCACCATTGGAACCTGATTTGCCAGTAAAACATATGATAATTGGTTTTTTTACCCTTCTATCTGGCAACAAATGTGGATATCTACATAAATTGATATTATAAACACACTATCCTAAAAATACAGCACCATATTTTAACACTAAAGCAGTCACTGACTCGCAACAACTTGCAAACATAAGTGACAGAGTTAATTTCGGGTAAAATCAATGAAAATGGGGTATGCCGATAGCATAGAAATGATAGAGCAAATCTGAGATCAGATTTGGAATCAGCACCCTGAAATTAGTCTAGAACAGCTGCAAAAGTCCAGGCCAGAACAAAATGTTTTTTTTGTTGACCAGTGTTATTGTGTTTTTTTACCCTTCTATCTGGCAACAAAACTGACACCTTTTTTACGAGGAGTCATGTTTGCATAGACCACAATACCTGCAGTTATAATGCAAACAAAAACATAACTTTGATGATGATATGCACTGTCCTTGAAGTTGATTGGTCCACACCCGAGACAGCTTTCCTTAGAGCCTAGTCTCACATGGTGTTGGACCAGATGACGCCAAAAGGCGCACAACTCAAAGACAATGCACCATCAGAGTATGAGAGCTCGGCTTAAGCATTTACACCATGGGAACCTCATTTGCCAGTAAAACATATGATAATTGCTTTTTTTACCCTTCCATCTGGCAACAAAACTGACACCTTTTTTAAATCCTTTATTAAATCCTTTATATTAAGTTAACTTGCTTGCTTGCTTGCTTACGACCGTGCAAACCTTTCGGTCGTTTTTTAACCCACTTCCCGTGATCCAATCGAGCTGACATTTTGCACACAGACTCGTTGTCCGAGACAATTAATGTTCGTGAAATTTTTTTTCCAAAATTTAACACTGTTTAGGGAAAACAAATTAAATATTTAATTACCAATTGTTTAATACTGGAAGACAATCATCTGACCCATAGGTGGCAGCCATCTCAAGCCAGAGGACGAGAGGACTCTAGCCGCCACGCATATAAAGGATTTAGAGTGAAAAATTTTGTTTTTACGGGTTATACTTGTTTAAATCCTTTATATTAAGTTCACGTGCTTGCTGAGGACCGTGCAAATCTTTCCGTCGTTTTTTAACCCACTTCCCGTGATCCAATCCAGCTGACATTTTGCACACAGACTCGTTGTGCGTGACAATTAATGTTCGTGAAAAAATATTTCCAAAATTTTACACTTTGTAGGACAAAAATATATTTAATTACCAATTGCTTAATGGTGCAATGCAATCATCTGACCCATAGGTGGCAGCTATCTCAAGCCAGAGGACGAGAGGACTCTAGCCGCCACGCATATAAAGGATTTATAGTGAAAAACTTTGTTTTTACGGGTTATACTTTTTACACTTGGCGGGTATGTGTGTGTGTGGGGGGGGGTGGGTGGTCCCTCTCGTCTTGTGTAGGTGGCGTCGCGAGCCAGAGCTGAGATCTTCAGCGCCCTCTCCGCCCTGGACTCGACGCTGCGCCAGCGAACATTCCTGGTCGGCGAGCGCCTCTCCCTCGCCGACGTGTCCGTGGCGACGGCGCTGATGCTGCCCTACGCCCACGTGAGTGTGGTGCTGGGGAAGGGGGTGGTGGTGGGGGGGGGGTGGTGGGGGGTGGGGGGAGGGGTGGCCGTGTCTCCGCACGCTCCCCCCCTTGTGTCTCCACGTCTCTCAACGTGTACCCACATAGATCCCCGTGTCTCTCAGTGTCCCCCCCCTTCTCCCCCCCCCCCCGTGTCCCCCCCGTGTGTCTCCACATCTCTCCCCACGTAGATCCCCGTGTCTCTCAGTGTCTCCCCCCCCCCCCCCCCGTGTCTCCACATCTCTCCCCACGTAGATCCCCGTGTCTCTCAGTGTCCCCCCCCCCCTCGTGTCCCCCCCCCCCCCCCGTGTCCCCCCCCGTGTGTCTCCACATCTCTCCCCACGTAGATCCCCGTGTCTCTCAGTGTCCCCCCCCCCTTCCCCCCCCCCCCCCCCACGTGTCTCCACATCTCTCCAACCTCCCGCCGCAGGCTACCCCTTGGAGAGGGGGGGTGGGCGGTGACTTTACCTTTGCCCCGTTGCAGGTGTTGGACGCCGCCGCCCGCGGGCGCCACCCTCACGCCACCCGCTGGTTCCTCACCTGCGCCCATCAGCCCGAGTTCCTCTCCGTGCTCGGGCCCGTCGCCCTGACGCGCCAGCCCGCCGGGGCCGAGGGTCACCCGGCCCCGGCCAAAGGTCAGCCTGCTGGGGCCAAAGGTCACCCGGCTCCGGCGAAAGGTCACCCGGCTCCGGCCAAAGGTCACCCGGCTCCGGCCGAGGGTCACCCGGCCCCGGCCAAAGGTCAACCCGCCGGGGCCAAGGGTCAGCCGGCCGGGGCCAAGGGTCAGCCCGCCGGAGCCAAAGGTCACCCGGCCCCAGCCAAAGGTCAGCCCACCGGGGCCAAGGGTCAGCCCGCCGGGGTCAAAGGACAAGCCGCCGGGGAGAAAGGTCCAGCGGCCGCAGAGGGCGCAGGTGGGGGACCGCTCCGCACGTCGCGCCCTCCTGCCGCACAACGCGGCCCCGTTGTGGATGAAGTTGTCGGGCGACGCACAAACGTGGAGTGTTTATTTACCCCCCTCGCTCCCTCCCTCCCTCCCTCCCTCCCTCCCTCCCTCCCTCCCTCCCTCCCTCCCTCCCTCCACCCCTCTTCCTCCTCCTTCTTCCACCCCTCTCCTCCCTTCCCTCCTTCCATCCCCCCTCTATCCCCCCTCCTCCTCTTCCCCCCTCCCCTCCACCCTCCCCCCCCCTCCTTCCTCCACCCCCCCCCCCCCCTCCTCTTTCCCCCCCCCTCCTCCTTCCTTCACCCCCCTCCTCCTCCCCCCACACCTCCCGCCTCCATTCTCCCTCTCCCCCAGCACCTCCGTTCCCTTCCCCCCCTCCTCCCCTCCCCCCGCACCTCCCCCCCCCTCCACCCCCCCCACCCCCACCCTCCCCCCCACCCCCCACCCCCCTCCAGCGAACGGAGACGACGCGAAGCCCAAGACGTCGGCGCAGCTCAAGAAGGAAGCGAAGAGGCGGGAGAAGCTGGACAAGTTCCAGCAGAAGCAGGAGAAGGTGAAGTCGCCTCGCCCCGACCAGGTGAGAGGGCCCCCCCCCCCACCCCCCACAGGGCCCCCCCCCCACAGGCCCCCCCCCAGGCCCCCCCCCAGGGCCCCCCCCCCACCCCCCCAGGGCCCCCCCCCCCCCCCCTACCGCTCCCGGGGTCCACTGTGTTGGGAATTCCGGTCCGGGGTCATCGTCATCTTCCTCCCCTTTCACTTATTTCACTTCCTCTTTTTTCTCTTTCACTTTCTATTTAGCTTCCTCTTTCACTTCCTCTTTCACTTTCACTTCCTCTTTCTTCTCTTCCCCTTCCTCCTCTTTCACTTTCACTTCCTCTTTCACTTCCTCTTCCTCTGCTTATTCGTCCATGGACCAGTGATCCTAAACTCCAGTCCAGGTTTTTCCTTGGCCCAGCGTCGAATCCAAGGGCCATCGATTTTCAAATCCAGTCCCAAGTTTTTTTGCGCGAATCCAGGGCCAGTGGGTGACAAATCCGTTCGCGGTTTGGCAGTGTCGAGTCCAGGGGCCGCCTACCCTCGCGAATTCCGGTTCGGGTTTTTTATTTTCTCCCCCCCCCCCCCGCGGACTTCCTCCCAGAGTCCGGCTCCAGCCGCGTGTGTATTGAAGGGTAGATTTGAAGCTTTCGTGACTGCAAGGATTCATATTGTTAGGTTTTTTCCGTAAAGTCACGTAGGTAAAAAATTAAAATTAATAAAATAAAAATAAAATAAAAATCACGACGTTTCGGAGGCAACACAAGCGTCCGTCTTCAGGTGGAACAGTCACAGCACAATTGCTGTATCAAGTGAGAGAAATTACATGAAAACCGTGTTTTTATATATACTGGTTGAGGGTGGGAGGAGCCAAGGTAGACCTTGATTATTATTTTTAAAATCCTTTATATTAAGTTCACTTGCTTGCTTGCGCGCTTACGACCGTGCAAATCTTTCGGTCGTTTTTTAACCCACTTCCCGTGATCCAATCGAGCTGACATTTTGCACACAGACTCGTTGTGCGTGACAATTTTATTTTTTTAGGAAAAAAAAATGTCATATTTAATTTAAAAAACCAATGTGATAAAAATGAAACTCTTATTCAAGAAATACAGAAATGAACAATAAAATAAAACCGATGCCACGCATATAAAGGATTTATGGTGAAAAACTTTGTTTTTACGGGTTAATTTTTTGTGAGGTTCGGTACGTGACTTTACCGAAAAAACCTAAGAATATGTATTGAAAGCTCCGCTCCGTGTTTTGTGTTTATCCCGTGCAGCAGCAGCAGCAGCAGCAGAAGAAGGCCAAGGTGGAGAAGAAAGAGTTGGAGGTGATCACCTACGACGTGGACACCCCGCCCGGAGAGAAGAAGGGTGAGAGGCGTGCACCTAGCCTGGCGCGGTGACGCGGTGGCACTGCCGTTGTTGCGTCTGTGTGTGTGTGTGTGCCCAGGTGTGTGTATGTGTCTGTGTGTCCAGGTGTGTGTGTGTCTGTGTTCCCAGGTGTGTGTCTGTGTGTGTGTGTCTGTGTGTGTGTGTGTGCCCAGGTGTGTGTGTGTGTACACAGGTGTGTGTGTGCCCAGGTGTGTTTGTACCCAGGTGTGTGTGTGTCCAGGTGTGTGTGTGTGTCTGTGTGTGTCCAGGTGTGTGTCTGTGTGTGTCTGTGTGTGTGTGCGACTGTGCGACTGTGGGGAGTGGTGGTGTAGTGGTTAGCGCTACGCTGCGCTACGAACCGCCCGGCGACCCGAGTTCGATTCCCGCTCACGGCCAACACCGCCAGTGACGATTATCTGAACCGGTTCTGAGCCTCCCCTAGGTCGACTCAGCCTCAAATGAGTACCTGGTGCGGTGTGTAGTAAACATCGCCACTGGGGAGACAAAGGCGGTCGGGCGTGGTGCTGGCCACCCACCCCCTCGTGTGCCGTGCCGGCCTTCATAGGTGCTCGCTAACAGCACTTGCCCCTACAGTCTGTCAAAGCTATACGGGGGATCTTTGTCTTTGTGCGCGTGCCCAGGTGAGTGCGTGCACGTAGCCTGGCACGAACGCCGTGGTTGACATCACCGAGTGGCGAGTGACGGCTGCTGTTGTTGTTGTTGTTGTCGTTGTTGTTGTTGTTGTCGTTGTTGTCGTTGTTGTTGTTGTTGTTGTTGTCGTTGTTGTTGTTGTTGTTGTTGTTGTTGTCGTTGTTGTTGTTGTTGTTGTTGTCGTTGTTGTTGTTGTTGTCGTTGTTGTTGTCGTTGTTGTTGTCGTTGTTGTTGTCGTTGTTGTTGTTGTTGTTGTTGTTGTCGTTGTTGTTGTTGTTGTTGTCGTTGTTGTCGTTGTTGTTGTTGTTGTTGTTGTGTGGCGCTGAGCGCTGCGCTGCGACCCGGAACGCCGCTGACGGATAGTCTGAGCCGGTCCCGGTGCCTCTTCCTCCCCCCTAGGTCCACTCGGCCTCAAATGGGTATCCGGTGCAGTGTGCGTAGTAAACGTTGTCACCGGGGGGGAGACAAAGGCGGCCGGGCGTGGTGCTGGCCACCCACCCACCCCGTCGTGTGCCACGGTGCCGGTAGCCTTCATAGGTGCTCGCTAACCGCACTTGCCCCATCAGTCTGTTAAGGCTACACGGGAGATCTTTGTCTTTGTATTTTTTGCGTGCGTGCGTGTGTGGTGCGTGTGCGTGGCCTGCGTGCGTGTGTGGTGCGTGTGTGGTGCGTGTGTGGTGCGTGTGTGGTGCGTGGCGTGTGCTGTGCTGCGTGTGCGTGGCGTGTGCGTGTTGTGTGCATGGCGTGTGCTGTGCGTGTGCGTGGCGTGTGCTGTGCATGGCGTGTGCTGTGCGTGTGCGTGGCGTGTGCTGTGCTGCGTGTGTGTGCGTGTGCGTGGCGTGTGCGTGGTGTGTGCGTGTGTTGTGCGTGTGGCATGCGTGTCGTGTGCTGTGCGTGTGCGTGGCGTGTGCGTGTTGTGTGCGTGGCGTGTTGTGTGCGTGGCGTGTGCTGTGCGTGTGCTGTGCT